AGGTATGGGGGTGGAGAGGGACGGCGGAAGGGCGGAGCGAGGTTAGAGACTTGCTGGACGTAGTGATGGAGACAGTCACTGGAGCGGTAGTTGAAGGAGTTGTCCACGATGGTGGGCCAGATGTCGGTTGTGAGGTGATCGAGGGCTGTTGCGAGGGTGGTGGTTATGCCATTGATTAGGTCGGAGTCTTTGTTCTCGTCGTCGATGGTGATACTATGATCATCCTTGGGGAGGTGATTCTGGTAAAAGGGGAAGACGAGGGCGGCTGAGAGGGGTAAGGCCACGAGGGGCCAGAGAGGGAGTTTCATTATGAGACGGGCAGCTTATACGGAGAAGATGCTAATGGGATCTGTTGCAGACAATGCTGCTTGTTGTGTTGCGTTGCAGGGATCCAGTGTGTTTTCTATCTGACGAGAGGGCAGGCCAATTGGGCCTAGACCCATCTATCGGCTGAGCCTAATGTTTAGTAACATCATGAGGGAGAACACAACCATTGTTATGGTGATACGCAGCACTAACTTTTAACAATTGGGGGGTTACAGCATCATACACAGCAGCACATTGGAGGAACTCGGCAGTTTGTTCATGACGACACGGAGAATGATGTCATGACCACTCGCGGGGCGGAAAGGAAGCTGATCGTAGGCAGTCAAGTGCCCGCCATTACTATGTAGTATTCTGGTATTGCGCTATGCATGGCTTCATGCAGATACAAGTTCAACGCTCAGGGCGCACATAATACATTTCATCATCTGGCTTCGTAGGTGTGTAAAGTAAGCTTCCGCCCACCGTCCGTGGTGGACGGCAACATCAAGATAGACTCAGACTCATCGACTCACGTCCATCAGGACGTGAGGCGGACGACTGCTGCAACGATTGTCGTCAATTGTGCAGAGCGTGCACATGGCTGGTCACTCAGAAAGGAAACACCGCATCAGGCACCAACAAACCGCAAAGCTGCTCTGATATCGGCCTCCAGAGCACGTGATTACTCTTCGGGTTGCACGAAGGGGTTGGCAATCTCCTCGCTGCCGTCGGCGGGCGAGATCAGGACGATGATGGTGCCACGGGCCACGACGAGACCCAGAGAGCGAGTGTTCTCGTTGCCCTCATCATCTGGGGCCGTCAGTAAAGTCGTGGTGTGGAAATTGCAGGGTGTGCTTACCGCGCATGGATTCCTTGACATCGTCCAGGACCAGATTCATAAGTTGGTCGTATCCCTTGAGCGTACCAATAACTGGACACAAATATCAGCAGGAGTGTATGTAAATTGCAACAGTAGGGGTGGATCTTACCCTCACGACCGCCATTGAACTTGACGCGCACCTCCTTGTCCATATACTTGTTGAGGTCGAGGATGTTTTCCTTCTTGGGCTTCTCCTGCTGCTGCTGCTGGTGGGCACCGCCACCAGCACCGCCACCTCTGTGGGCGCCACGACCGCCAGACCGGTCATAGCCTCCGCCGCGGCCACGGCCACCTCCACGGAACGAGCCTCTTTCGGACATGGCTTGGCTGGAGGGAGTGTTTAGGTTGGGAGGGGAAGTTACTTAGTAGTAGATTATGTGTGGGAGTGGTGGGTTTAGTCCAATTAGGAAGGATGTGGATTAGATAATGCGGTGTCGGGTAAAGGAAAATGAGGGGAAGGAGGGGAAATGCAAGATGAACCAGCTAGTAGTGTGAGTAGCTGGACAGACGAGGGGGATTGGAATGGACTGGCCGGCAGCTCCCTGGAAATGGCACACCGGTGTGGACAGAAATGCCAAATTGGGCCCGACGGGAATTTCACGGGGGCGGAGGGAGTCAGTCAAGCTGTTGCAGGGAAACTCTGACTATGAGGGATTTTCAGCCGGAGCAGCAATAGCAAAGAGCAGCAGCAATAGCAACAAGCAACAAGCAAAACTACCACAATCACGAGGTCGAGCCAGTCACGGGATCTGTGGACGCTGGGAGGAGATCGGAAAACTCTTTTTTTTATCTTCCTGGCAATTGAAGATGGTAAAAATTACAAGACATCTGTCACATTTCCAAGTCGAACAGTACCTGACCACCGGCCCGGGTTAGCGCGTATCGTGGGGGGGCTGGAACCCGGCCAGTGTCGGACACGCGCCCATCACAGCTCGGCCTTTGCTGGACCAGTTTGATGAAGGCTTTTTAGGCAACCATCTTCATCCGATTGATCCTATTTAATGTCTCACACTGGGGGGAGAGAATTATTCCCCCATCAGCAATAAGAATCCAAACAATGACTCGAGTAAAAACTTATGGGAAGGTAGAAACCGGGGCTCACTGATTGTCTGGCACCGGCTCAGCACGGGCGGAGCGCGACCCCCGTCCGAAGGATGAGCTGGTCCAGGCCGGGTTCCGGGCGGCTTCCCCTGTGCACAATCACGAAACCCATGACGCCAGCCAAACCAATACCCATTGGATAAGTTCCGGAAGGAAACGGAGCACCAGCATCATAGCAGCCACTTCCACCTGGCCGCCAGAGGACAACGTGTCAGATAGCCGTCCTTCCTCTTGCATTGCTTGTCGGTCCCTGGAGTCCGCCGCAAGGGGTCTTGCAACCCCAGACACATGCGCTTGGGATCGGAACAATGTCAATGCTGATGATAAGGGGAGAATTGTCGGAGATGTAACATCGGGTCTGCTTGTTTCTTCGTATCCCTCGCTAGTTTCTACATTCATTGTGGTGTCTATTTACCCAAAACATGGGCCCCCATAACCGGCCCTACTGTAAGGTGTTGTCGGTTCATGCCCCGGCCTGGCCTGGCCTTGATAACAGGCGCATGGGCGGCGTATTGATGTATTGTCATAACATGTCATGTATGTTTAATGACCAGCGGAAGAGCCCGGCGGGACTCCGCCCTGCCTTAGGTAAGCGATAACCGGTCACTCGTCAGTTCCTCTCGCTGGGTTTGCAGGAGAGGAGTGGAAAGTCGGTTGCTGTGTTGTTAGCCATCAGGGGTCGAAAGAGACCAAGTACAGTTTAGAGTCCATGGAAAGGGGAGTTTAGTCAAGAATAATCATGCGGATCACCCAGGAACTCAGCGGGAATACAAGACAGACAGACAGACAGACACACAGACAGAAGAAAAAACATCCCTATCGTCCAGGCGCGATCAGGCTACCATTTGTTTTGCGGAAGATCGCCATCACCCACTTGCAGGCCCTTTAGCTCGGTCCACTCGGCATCTCCCATCGTCTGGCTGCTGCCAATGAGGACGGCAAGTTGGGGGAGGATGTATCAAAGCAGTAGGTAACTTACTATCTAGTCAGTCACTCACTATCCCAGTCCGTTCATTAGTTCCCTATCAATCCCATCCTCTCGCCCGTTCCGCCATCCGCAGCGTCACCAGCATCCATTCGGGGGTATTATTGGCCATCACTTCCACCATCCCGTCCCTGCAGTCTGCTGGTTGGGACATTCTGTTTTTGCTGTGCTGCTACAGCTGCTACAGCTAGCGAGTAGTAGTTAGTAGTGAGTACTGAGTAAATAGATATCGTCCCATCCAGTCCTTGTTCTGCGCCTTTTATCTTTTCGTCCCATGTCTCTAACAAACTACTAAGAAACTAAACTTGGCCAACGGCTTCCCCCAACCCTCTTCCTCCCGGCCGTAACTCCGTCCGCCTTTACCTGCCGGTTCGTCCTCCTAACTTTCCTTTCTCTTGCCTCTTCCCCCATCTCTCCTCCTCGCTCTCTCTTCTCTCTTTCTCCCTCCCTCTCCCTCCTCTCTCCTCTCCTCCTCTCCGGCCTCTATCCTCTCTCCTCTCCATCCTTCTCTCTTTCTTCCTCTTCTCCTCTTCTCCCTCCCCCCTTTCCCCTTCCACTCCCTCTTCCCTCTCCCACTTCTTCCCTACTCTCTTCTTCCCTGGTTATTCTTCCTCCCCCACATTTTCTTCCCTCCCGACACTGGATCCTCCCCCCCTCCCACCCCCCATTTTCCCAAGCTATTTTTTTTTCCGTTGGGGTCGCCGATTACCTAACTCGAACGCAGCACGCGCTGCCCAGTGGCTGAACCTGAACCCGCACTCTGGAGCCTGATGCTCCGCCATCGGCAGCCCGTCTTTCGCCAGTCTTCTCATTACTCATTTCTTCTATAAACCCGTTTTTCCTCTCTGGGTTCCTCCCATTTATCCCTCCCCCTCCCTGCCCCGTATTTTCCGCGACTCCTCGCTTCGTCGCAATCCACCCGGATTTACTTCCTCACTGTCTTCCTTGGTCGCCTGCTACCTCCGGCATCACCATGGAGTCCAGAACCGCGACGGCTGAGCCGTCGAGTAAACGACCGCGCTCACCTTCCGGCGATTTCCCTCCTATCGCATCCAAGGTTCCCAAAACCCATTCCAATCACCTGCAGATCAACTACCTCGCCCGCCAATACCCTGACAACCTTCCTCTCGTCTCCGTCGATGATACCATGCCCGCCATTGTGCATCTCATTGGTGAGTACGACGGCGTCTTACATCGTCACGAAAGCATCGCTGGGAACTTGGGCGCCTGTCCGCTGGGGCCCATCTTGATCAAGCGCTTTGAGCGCTTGTTCGATGGGCCGCCTCGCGTGCTCAAGTCGCATGGCAAGGACTCCCCCAACGTGACCTGGCTGGATGTAGTCGAGTTTGCCAAGAACAAACCTGAGCAGTTCAACCTGGAAAAGTCGCGCAACGGGGTGCGAGTGTGCCAATTCTATACCAAGCAGTGTCGGGTGGAGATCAGCGAGGAGGACTTTGTGTTGATCGCCTCGGGGATGCCCCAGAAGATGATCCCCCCGCAGCCGATCATTGAGGATGAGGAGAAGGAATTGGGCGCATTGGAGATTCTGGAGAAGAACCTCCAGCAGATCATCCAGATGGCCGACCAGGGTATGACCTTTGACATGATTTTTTGTATTACAGTCTAAAACTAATCATCGTTGCTAGTGTCTGCCCGCGCCCGACAACTGAACCACCGTTTGAAAAACCGCCGAACGGCGATTGTCACTCGGCGGGAGAACGACATGTCGCTCCACTCGCAGCGACAGCAACAACAACAACAGCAGCAACAACATCGTTCCATCAGCCCTGCCTGGCGCGATGCCAATGGCCATGCCCAGAATCCAAATGGCAGTACCCCTGCTAGCGCCCAGTCTCCCTCCACTGGTTTTGTTGCCGTGAATGCCGGCCGGCCCGGCGGCGGAGAAGCCACTGTGGAGGAGAATGCGCTGTCATCGCAGTTTATGTTCTCGCATTCCAATACGGACAACGTTACTATCATCAACGGCACCTCGATCAAAGGCGCCTCGCCGACGACCCGCGCCGAGCTCATGAAAAAGTTCTTCACAACTCAGGATCGGCAGGCGCGCAGCATTGAAGAGGGACCCGGCTCCAATAGCCGGCAGTCTTCCCGGCCGCGGCCGCGAGCGTCGGATGCGGCGGACTACAATCTGTACACTCCGGCACCGACTACGGTTGCTATTCCCAATACACCGTCGTCGCTTCTGCCTCCGCCCAAGTCCCACCACCACGAAAAGGATGACGGCGGCCCGCACAAGATGGAGATGGTGGCGCGCATGGAAGAACTACAGCGGGGCGAGCGCATCTTGCCGCCCTGCGATCGCTGTCGTCGGCTACACATGGATTGTCTGAAGAACCTGACCGCCTGCATGGGGTGCACCAAGAAACACGCCAAGTGTTCCTGGAAGGACGTGAAGGAGGACGAGCTACGTGAGACGCGCGTCGACCGCACGTCCCGGGAGCGAGCGGAGGAGCCGCCTTCGTCCAAGGAGGCCTCTGCGACCCATCCACTGCCCACTCCTGTGGCAGCACCACCGTCGTCGACGGCAGCCCCCACCCCGGTGTCTGGGCCACTGTTGCCCGAGACGGAGCCGCGACCTCGCGAGCGCGAGATTGCGTCCGAGTACAGCGTGCGCCGCGAGTCTGCGCCGACGGGCGGACCGATTGCGGGGATGGCGCTGGCCAAGGAGACGTCACCGCGGCGAGCCATGAGCGAGATGCATGGGAGCAGCGGGATGAGCCACGAGCGGCGGGTCAGCCTGCATCGGCACGCGGAGGCGGACGACGATGATCCGGATGCCAACCAGCGGCTGATGCAGGCGATTCTGGATACGGTGGACCACCACACGCGGGTGGCGGCGGCGGTGAAGGAGGGGCATGAAGTGAGCAACGAGCGGGAGCGGGAGCGCGAGCAGGAACGAGAGCGGGAGCGGAAGTTGGTGCGGGCGTAGCTTTGACCCGACTTTTTGTTTGGGAATTATGGATATGGATACCTTGGACAGGACATGGGAGTTGTATTTAGGTTTTTGATTGAGCGAGTTAGCGGATATCCCGGTTTGAATTCTGGATGAAATGATGGATTGGATGGATTGGATAGCATGGATGGGCATAGCATAATGTGACTGCATATGCATACAGGATCTACTCTGTACAGAAGAACCAGTGAATGTGTGTCGGAGTTTGTCATTCCCGCCGCGGCACCAACTGCCGATGGGCGATCCGCACCCCGCAGACACTTGATCCTAATAGATCTGAACACTACTACTTTATACTACTATTTTTCAAACAAGGATACTCAGACATCCAACCCCACAGATCGTCACGTCAATCTCTCGATCCAGTATTCCTTATATCCATATATCCGCAAAGTAGTAATGAATCTCGGGAATGGCCATAGCCGATCTCCTCGCTGAGTGATGCTTACGTAGCACCACCATCCGAACTACCCAGCCAATGAGACCGCGTCAATTTACACCCATCCACCACCCACTTTTCTTTCCCATCCATAGCAATGTGGGGTGTCCCCGCAGTCTTCATTCACCTATATAGTAGATTCCCCCCCACCCCATACCCATTGCAATTGCGCCCTCTATTCTTCTCACCCCTCACCACTAATCAAAGAACATAAAGGCGAAAACAAAATGGATCCCAGCAAAGTCAAAATTCCCCCCATGAAAGACCTCACGGTCGACAACATCACCGAGAACGTCATTCGCATCAACTCCCTCTGCCAAGACGAGCGACTGAAATACGTTCTCGAGCGGCTCGTCACCCATCTCCACGATTTCGCTAGAGAGACTCGTCTCAGCACGGATGAATGGATGACTGGCTTGAGATTCCTCACGGAAGTAGGCAAGATTTGTTCTGATGTTAGACAGGTATGTTTCTATCTATTTCCCCCCTCTCCCCCACAATTCCCGTATCCCCCCCACCACCACCACCACCAACAATACTAACATTTAATTAGGAATACATTCTACTAAGCGACATCCTCGGCCTCTCCATCCTCGTCGACTCCATCGACCACCCCAAACCCCCCAACAGCACCGAAGGCACCGTCCTGGGCCCCTTCCACACGCACGACGCCGAGCCCCTCACCCCAGGCGCCAGCATCTCCCATGACCCCGCCGGCGAGCCCCTCCTCGTCGTCTGCACCGTCAAAGATACCCACGGAAACCCCGTCTCCGACGTGAAGATCGATATCTGGGAGACGGATTCCACCGGCCATTATGATGTGCAGTATGCCGGACGGGATGGGCCGGATGGAAGATGTATCATGACGTCTGACAAGGAGGGCGTGTTCTGGTTCAAGGCCATTACCCCGGTTCCGTACCCCATTCCGCATGATGGGCCGGTGGGGAAGCTGTTGAAGCTGTTGGGAAGACATCCCTATCGCCCGAGTCATATGCATTTTATGTTTGAGAAGGGAGGGTTTGATCATTTGATTACGTGAGTTTTATATTGGTTCCCCCGGAGGGGTGGGTGGGTATGGATGTGGGCTAATGTGGGTGTGTGTGTTTAGGGCGCTGTATCTCCGCAATGATCCGTATGAGACCTCCGATGCGGTCTTCGGAGTGAAGGATTCGCTGGTGGTGGATATTGGTAAGGCCGGGCCGGAGTATGCGGCCAAGTATGGGGTTTCCGAGGATCATGCGCTGCTGACGTATGATTTCGTGCTGGTGAGTGATGAGGAGACGAGTGAGTTGCGGGCGAGGAATTCCAAGGAGGCGTTGGATAAGTTGGGGAGGAAGGTGAAGATTGTTAATGGGTTGCCGGTGCCGGATTTGGATTGAAGATCCTGCTTTTCCGCTTTTCTTTTCTAATAGAGCTTTTTGTGTGGTATGATGTGATTAAGTGGTGTATGATTGTATGAATGTATTCTTTATTAGGTGTATATACATCATTCATTATCGTGGACATTGGTGTTGGCTTCTGCTTCTGCATTCACCATCTCTCCAAAGTCACTTCCCTCCACTGCTGCCGCACCATCCTTCAATCGTCGCAGTCCACTCTCATCTTCCACCCAGCCACCGACCTTCTCCACTCCTGCGATATACTCTGTCCCAATGCGCAGGTTCAGCCCTGCGCTCAACGCCCGTTCGATCCGCACTTCGCGTCCCTCAGCAATCAGCACCCGGAACACGTGGCCCAGGAACCCGCTCAGGAGGTCCACGCTCCACTCGTCCGGCACGACACGCAGCACCTCGCCCACGTCGAACCACGCCGCGAATCGTCCTAGCAGGTCGCTCGTCCGCTCGAGCCGCTCTGACGGATCCTGGATCTGCAGGAACTCGTCCAGCAGGTACCGGAAGAGCTCTGATTGCAGGGATCGCTCGGCGAATTCGACCAGCGCTCCTGTCGTGCTGGTGCTGCGCGGGCCGCCGAAGAGGCAGTATCGTACGGCGGAGTCGTAGTCGCCTAGTCCGTGGGTGAGCAGGTGAAGCGCCTCGCGGTGTCGACCTTGTAGTCCGTCTAGAATCACTGATTCTGATACCAGTTCGTTCTGGAACGGCTCGATCCGCGCCAGCACCGCCGGGATGGAGTATGTCAGATTGCGCGCGGGCAGGGAGGTGAAGTGCCCGCCGCTGCCGCCTCCGAGGAGTTGAAGAAGGCGGAGCCGTGATTGCCACCATGGCTCGGCAGGGGTGTTTTCGGTGATGAAGTTCATGTAGGTGGGTTTGGGCGGCTGCAGGGCGCGGTACGTAGAGTAGGATTCTGCGAGTGATGCACGCGCTTCTGGGGAAGACTCGAGCACGGAGAGTACGGTGTCCAGGTAGTAGGAGAGGAGGTCGTCCGCGTATTGAGTGTGCTGGACAGGTTAGCTTGAATACATGATAAGAGAGTGGCACTTACATTTCGGACGAAAACGAGGTGCTCCAAATACACCTGCACCGCATTTGGCGCGCGCTCTTTGAGCAAGCTGACCACATCCGTAGTCTCCAGTTTCACCCGGCTCGTGCCGTCGGAGAACACTTGAATACCCAGGTTGGGATTGCGCTGGGCCAGCCATGCTCCATACTCCTCCACCAACTGCGCGTCCTTGATCTTGACCAAGTACCGTCGCATCTGCGCTTCGGTCCCACCCACGGTGACCTCACCACCACGGTCCTCCTCGCCATCGATAATCCGTCGCCAGGTCTTGAGGACATTCCCCGACATTCTGTGGCTCTGATACAATCGGCTGAGCACAAACAAGCGCCGGTAGCTTTCCAGCAGCGCCACGGCCCGGTCAAAGCTACCCTTCCAGTTGTCCACTAGACGGTTGAGTTCCGCGCGGATGGACGACTGCGCGCGTTGGTCGGCTGACATCTGTGCATCCTGCTCCAGAAGCAGGTGCAGAAGAGCTGCATCGACGCTGTCGAATACATAATTTTCATCCGTAATACTGCCATATCCCCTCTTCTGTTGCCAGGATAATAGGAACCGCTTGATCATATCCAGAACTGCTGCATCGGAAGCCCCGGTATTCTCCGTCTTGTCGAGCCGCTGCACGTAGGCTTCCGTGACCTCAGAAAGACCAGCATGAACCCAGATGCCCTGTGGACCTTGGAGAACCTCGCGTCGCAGGAGAGGAACTAGCAGCAACGCAATACGCGGGTCCAGTTCACCAACTATGAGCGCTCGCTCTGTGTCATCGATGATGGCATCGCTTCGGACAGCCGCGTCCATGAAGATGAGATCTGCGAAAAGAAGCAGGCTTGCTTTCTGCTTCACATAGTTTAAGCCCAAGAATTCCGATTCTGATTTGGGCTCTGTGGTCTGGACATGGTGGATGATATCGGCAACTGCTTTCCGGAAGGCCTTGGAGTCGCCAGCGCCTGTCTCCTGAGCCGCCTGCAGAGCATCATTAAGCTGTGTGGTCAGTGGATTTCTCACCACCCGCCATATCTGGTTGCCGTTCCACATCACCATGCTGCTTTGGGTCTGGCCTAATTCACGCGCAAACCTGGCTTCCTCGGCGTTTCTATCCGCTTCCCAACCGCGCTCCTTCGAGCCTTCTGAGTCAGTCAACTCCTGAGCCTCAAAGAGCTCTTTTTCTTTTTGGAGATGTTCGATCGATGATTGCGTTCTTGGGTCGGCTGCCGGTACATGGGGAGACAACAACGGAGTCTTTAGACGGACCATACGTAGCAAATTTCCCAATTCAGATACCTCGAGCTTGCTTGGGCTGATTGTATGGCATAGACCAGCATGGGTAGTCTGCATGTCGTTGGCCGACGGTATTTCTACCCAAGTTTTGTGGTCCTCCGCCTCCCCGGGATCGACATCCCAGAGCTGTACTTCGAGAAACTTTCGTCTCTGGCCATCCTGTTCTGATTCAATGACAGCCAGAAGAAGCTCATCCTGCGTATTCTCCGGTGATGGTATCATGTGGGTTTCGTCGCCCTTGTCGATCACAATCGACTCGGGATATTTGTGAAATGTTATCGTACCACGGACCACGTCGCCATCTACATTGACAAACATGCCCACTCCGGGCTCGGTTGTATCGGTTCCTCTGACAAGCAAGAACTCCGACGAGGTCGGTGATAGCACGTGAGGCTTCAGCTGGATTGGAGGCTTCGGTATTGGTGGAAGGGGTTTTCGGTCATCGGGGCTTGACTGGGAGTCGCGGGTCGAGTGGGTAGGGGATATTCTCGGAGAAGCACTTCCGGCTCGGTCTTTCGAAATCGATTGTCGCGGGGTTCCAGCAGGAGACAGCTCTGGCGTAACAGAGCTAGACCTATCATGAGGTGAGGTATGAGTATTTGGCTGCAGCATCCCCGCGAACGGGTTTGGTCCGGAGCCTCGGTCATGTGCGTGGCTCTCCAGAGGCGAGGTCGCGAAGGGTGACGACGGGGATCTGTCTCCTCCATGACCCGAATCGAATGCCTCACTGGAGAATGAGACAGGAAAGAGCTGGATCTTCTGTTGGTTTTCCACGTCCAATAGAGAGTACGCATGTGTATCAGCAGCGCAAGCGATTATGCCTCTCCGCGCCGCCACCAGGCAGCCAGGAAACTCGATGTTCCTTATCCGTCGAGCATCATCGCCAATTCTGACCAACATCATCCGATTTTGGGCCGCGATCATGATAACTGGGTTTTCCGACTCATCCGCTGCGTTCAGATCCAGCCCGCCAATCCAGCGACAGTTGTTGACCTTGGTGTTCCCGAAGGCCGGACTGAGTTCCGGCAACATGTAGAAGGTAGCCGTTCCATTGCACAACACACATGCCTTGTTTACTGTTGGCAGTAACACAATTTGCTGGATCCCCAGGAGCTTTGCTGATGCTGTTTGGGAGAAAGGGATTGGTAGTCTTGAAGCGAGGATGAATGACGGCTCGTTCGACTTGTCCGAGGGGTCCGGTGGGAGGCAGACGAAATGCAGGATCTCGGCGGCAGAGGTACCAATGTATAGATTGTCATCTAGAGATAATCCAGTTAGCTCGGCTCGCTCGTAAGCAAATCTGGCACGCACTCCAATACTCGACGCAGGTTATATGGACATCATCGTCATCATTGTCCGCATTCAAGGGCACCTGGTCGAAGAGGGACCGGAACACATAAGGTGCAGCTTTTGGAGGGCCAATCTTCCGCCTTTTGCGCGGGCTGATGCCCTCCTCTTCCGACACCATGATGAGGCCAGCTCGGTGATGTCGTGAGAGATGGTTCCTGACAGGATGGAGACGTGAGGGGAAGGCAGATCAGGACAGGAACTGGGAGGAGCTTCAGTCGGGCGAGGCTGGGCGCGGGTGGGCCCGCCTGGGGTTAGCTGCTGACTCAGGTGGAGTCCGTTCTATGATTGCAGTTAACTAGTTAGTTATCAGTCTATCACTTTTTAACTATCTATGCTGAGAACTTCAAGTCATTACTATTGCTCTCTCTTGGACATCGTATCAGCTTGAACCAGTTCGGTGTCCAGGTGCAAGCATAAACCCCCAATCCGCGGGTTGAGGATTGAGCTGTCTGGGCTGCGATCGCGACGCTTCAGCCTTCATCACCTGCCAGTGACGAGGCAGACTTTAGGTTGCAGGCAACACATATGATACATCTCAAGCCACTGCTTATTTGAGGTCTCTTCAGCATATACTTACCTGAAAAAGGCCCAATCTGAGACGAACGTGGCCAAGTTGCTATAAATAACGGGGCTGAACCACGATCGGATAGGAACCTACCGGCATCGATCCAGGAGAATCTCATCTTAGACGGTCAGCTCACTAGAACCCTAACTATCAGTACTCTCTTGTCTTGTCGTAAAAGGACACCTCTTCCTTGCATATATATACGCTATCTCAACACGCGATTGGGCATATCTGCTCATTGTTGTCTTCGGAAGATCATCGGCCCGGTCGGCGTGTCACTCCGCATTGCTGTAGTTTCACATTAACTGGCTTCATTTACTTGTCCCTCTCCGGATAGTCGTGGTGTTGCCGGTCCGGTCTTGGATGGGGGTGTTGCGCTGATTCTTGTTCCATTGAAGCGGATTATCTTCAAATCTCAACCATGGACGCTTTCGCGATTACCGAAGGCATTGTCCCTGACAATAGCCAGGATGGCCACAACTCCGAGCCCGCCGCCGGCAAGTTACCGGAAGGAGCCAACAAGTTCCAGCGTGCCATTGCGGCCTGGCGAGGTTTGTCGCCTCAATCTCAGAATTCTCGACCGAAGTATCCGGTAGCTAACAAGTTCCTTTGATACAGGTATCGATCTCGCCAGCACGGTCGCAAAGCTAGACAGTACCGCATCTGACATCGTCGCTCAGCAGCGTGATGCACTCGTCCAGCGCAAGGATCTCGCCCAGAAGACGAAGGATTTCCGCAAGCTAGATGACTCTTCTAAACTTGCTGAGTACAAGGGCCTTCTGAAAGGTTCGTGGTGTTCCAACCGCATCCGTCCGAACCGTCGCTAACACCTCACAGCTTACCAGGGGTTTATCGATCTTCTCACGAACCAGGGCAAGGCCTCCTCGTCCGCCTTCTTGCAGCTCTATTCGTCCTTGTCTGAAGCGCCTGATCCCTACCCTCTCCTTGAAGCATCCGTCGACTCCCTCGTCCATTCCGAAGAAACCGTCCCCAAACTGACCTCGGAACGTGATCGTCTGCAAGGCTCCGTCGACCGTCTCACCTCTCAGCTGGAGGATACAGAAAAGCGCCTTCAAGAAGAAAGGGCGGCGAGAAAGAAGCTAGAAGAGAACCAGGAGTCTAAAATCAAGGAGGTCGAGGAGTCGTGGTCCGCGGTGCTGTCAGAGAAAACGAACAATTGGACGGCTAAAGAGAAGAGCTTGGAGGAGAAGGTGGAGAACCAGGAGCGCTTGGTGAAGGAGCTCAAGGCAAGCTATGAGGTGTCACAACGCTTGGGCCAGGAGGAAGAGGGCGGCGAGGGCACCCACGGAGCTAGCGCTGCGGAACTCGAACTGGTTTCAACCGAATTGGAGAAGACAGGACTGAGGCTGGCGGAAGTCGAAGCGAGAAATGAGCAACTCAGGCTCGAGCTGGCTCAAGCCGTCTCCCATTCGCAGTCGGGTCACGCAGCGTCCGTCGAAGATGATCCTGATTACCTGCGCCTCCAGTCGGAGAATTCGTCCCTCTTGCGCAAACTTGAAGCTGCTCGCTTTGATAAGGAGTCTGAGCGACACACCTGGGAGTCCAAGTACTCTCAGGCTGAGAGGCAGATCACAAGTGTCACAGCTGAGAAGGAAGAATTGCGCTCAAAGTTGGAAAAGGTCGCTGACTATGAAGACATCCGTCGGGAACTGGAGATGATCAAGGTAATAACTCAATATCCCTCTGTTTTGATTGGCTATCTGACAGTTACAGTCTATTGAATTCTCGCCTGGCGATGACGATGATGCTGCCGATCTGACAGACGCTGCGAACGCCAACGGCGCGGCTGCCAAGTCCCAGGATGGGTCAAAGAACAAGAATAGCTTGGAGCAGCTCTTGCTGGCCAGGAATAAGAAGCTGACAGATGAGCTCACCATTCTACGAGTATCCCATCGCGACCTACAGGGCCAGCTAGAGGCACTCCGCGAGGATCTCTCAACCACGAAAGAGGAGTTGGAGAAATCGCAGAAGCTCTCTACCACACTGGAGAATGATCTTCTCCGTGTACAGGAGGAGGCTGCGAACACATTCCCTTCATCGGCAATGTCTGTTGCTGGTACCTACACCTCGAAGTACCCGCACTCAACCCGCAAGGGCGCAGTGTCGCCCACCTCGTCCATCATCTCGGGCTTTGACCAGTCCATGGCTTCGGCCAACACGATGGACTCCATCCGTGCGGGAGAGCCAGTCGGGGGTGGCTCGGGTCTTTTGCCTATGATCCAAGCCCAGCGTGACCGCTTCAAGAAGAAGAACGCTGAGCTGGAGGAAGAGCTGTCAAAGCTGTACGGCACAGTGAAGTCATTGAGACAGGAGGTGGCCTCTCTACAAAAAGACAACCTCAGCCTGTATGAGAAGACACGCTATGTCTCAACATACAACCGTGGGCCGGGCGCATCATCGTCCGCCTCTGCTTATGCGAGCAGGCCCAATGCCTCGTCCATCCACCCATCAGCAGACACGCCGTCAGGGCTTTCCCTCGATCGGTACCAATCCGCGTATGAGGCTCAGATCTCACCATTTGCCGCTTTCCGGGGTCGTGAGTCTACGCGTGCATACAAGCGCATGAGCCTACCGGAGCGAATTGTATTCTCACTTACCCGGATCATTCTCGCTAACCGCACGAGCCGGAATCTTTTCGCGGGCTACTGCTTTGCTCTACACATCTTGATCTTCGTCATGCTGTATATGATGAGTACCATGGAGATCGAGAAGCATAGCAGCGCAAGCCTTGGTGCAGCCGCTGCGGCTGCAATGGCCGGCGGGGGTGGCAGCGGTAGCGGTGGTTATACTGGCCAGCAGCTCCATGGAGATGATTGGCAGCAAGAAGGCTTCAACCACGCGGGTTGATCTCATGACTAGCATTGTATTCTTAGCCCGTTGGGAGCGACGAATCATTCAGGGGCGTTTGTTGGTTGGCGGTTATGATCTAGTGCTGATACTTTTCTATGTGAATATCCTATGTTCTATAATGCAAATACTTCTATATGATGCTTGATGCTTTGATCGATTAGAACGGTAACTGCTAATAATATTGTGGCGTGCAGTACAAGGGAGCAATGCATAGAGGAAAGCAGTTGGTATAGGGGGCGGTACTGCCATTCGAGTTGCATATCATGAGTGTATGACTGGGAAGAATGATCAAAAAGGCTAGTCAATAAGTAAGGTACTGTGCGGTTTTCAGGTTACATATATCTTTATCTATCTTCCTTTCTTCGTATTCTATTTTACCTCTATATATATGAGAGGAAACAAAAGATAAAAACAAAAAAGAAAAAGAAACGGCCCGAGCCGCGGATCGAACGCGGGACCTCTCGCAGATATGCTTGGGTTTGTATCCCTAAGCGAGAATCATACCACTAGACCACCCGGGCGTTGCCTGTTGAAACACGGTTTTCTTTTATGCTCTATGAGTCTTTTTTCAATTTTAGCTGCAGTTCCGTAACTACCTGTGCTGTCGTGATGTTTGTCATACAGGGTTATACGGCCGCGGAAGAAGAATATCCTTTCTATATACGTTGTTGAAATTTAGATTGGCTTAGACTTCTAAGTACTACTAGTAAGGTAAGTAATGAACAAGGGAGTGATGGTTGCTAACCTTTAAGTTGTGAGTCGGAGGCGTGTTGGCTGAATATATACTGGTGGGTACTTCATACTACTTCGGAGGGATGGTGCCTGCTTATCGCCTTTCAACTTTTACGAACGGCATCACTCACCGCGAAATATCATGCCCGGCACTTCATCCATGGAATACACCCTCTCATCGATGTTGAACGCGGCGCCTCCCCCAAAGCCCAATGACCAGAAAACTGCAACAACACCCTCGCGCGATTCTACTTACATACCTGAGCGACTACCTGCACCTACCCCCCGGTGTTGTATCTCAGCAACATACCCCGACCAAAAAGAACCGATTATATATATCCCATCTTGAGTAACTAAGTTCATCACTCCTAGAGTTACAGAGTGCCAGAGCCCTACAACTACATTGCATGCATAACAGGGGTGCTTCATTGGATGCCCCCACAGGATGGCCAGACTTCGAAACGACTCAGCCAAACAACCTTCAATGGATTCAGCCACCGATGCGATGATAAGCGCGACGCGATGTACATGAGGGCCATTCATACTAGTCCCTTCTTCTCAGAAACAACTATCGATCATACTAATGCTGACGGATCTTGCCCATCATATCCCAATAGCCGCCCGAGCCATGAGACAGACCGGTACCACACCGCGGCCGAACGAAATCCTCCTTGGAGCCAGAAGGCCAAATGGGGAGCTGACAAACTTCATCTATCTTGCACTTATGACACTCCCTGAATACTGCCCAATTCAAGTAATGCTTCAGGTCCTCAATGATTGCAATGCCCTCTTCATACGTCTCTGCGCTCGCGCCAGCAACCAAGCTCGAACACAATCGCTCCGAAACCTGAGAGACAGCCTGAGCTGGGACAGTGGTAATATCAGCGCCAGAAACCCAGAACTGCCTGGCGCAGCGCTCAATTTCAGCAGTCGAGTTGCGCCCACGCGCGTCGATAAATGGCTCAATAGCGAGGTGAAGCTCACGGCGAAGTTCATGGTGAGTTGAAATGGCCGGAGACAACGCCAGACTAATGCGGTAGTGGTACCTGGTCATGATCATGTCGACGACGTTTTGCCAGTTAATACCAGTGTTTGTAAAATCAGTCCCTCTGACCAGCCGATCAATGTGTGCGCGTACGGGCACCAGCTTTGCAGCATCGTTGACCACCCGGGGGAGGCCCTGCTCGTCAAAGTACATTGCGTCGGGGTATGCGAACATCGTGACAAAATCGTCGTAGTTGATGGATACTCTGTCTCCCCCAATGCCATCGAATCGGGTAGCAAGTGCTCGAGCATAGCTGAGATGGGAACCACCATCCCCATTGCGCGATGGGTAAGTGCTTAAGATGCTTACAACGTCGAGGTTATCGGCGAACGAGCAGAGGATAACCTCGAAGCCACCGACCATTCGAATGAATCCGTCAACACGATTGTCCCACTGGTCGCGGGCCATGGCACACAGATCGTCGGCGCGCAGGTTGTCACCCTCTGCCGGGCTGCCATCAAAGAGGGTTGCATTTCGGAGGACAATGTCCTGCATATCGAGGGTACCCTTGAGAGATTTTGCAGCCGACTGTCCATCAAAGTACACGAGACGTAAATCACGCTTAGTGCGATAGGTGTGGAAATATCCCGTCTGTTCTTCTACCGTAGGTTCGGTGGAAATGAAAGATGACTGGTCATAGTGCTCCCCAATGTTTGACTGACTCTGGTGGCCAGGCTTGTTATGGTGACCATCGTAAGATCCATGACGAGCTTGCGAGTCGGATCCTTCGACCACTACCCTGTGAGATCCCCCGTGCTCAGTTAGGAAATACTGAACAATTGACTGCAGTCTCTTCCATTGGCGAGTGAAGAGGCCATGGTGAGGCGTGCCTTCAGCAGCCATGTCAGCATTGTGATGCTTTGTGTGACCGCGAGAATCTGCATGATAAAGCTTCACGTGTTCGCGGTGCTGGGCATGATCCTGTGTCCAGTCGTTGTTGTCTGAATCAGAGCCACTTTGCTGGTGAACCGACTCTTTCCGGTGCTTATCGCGAGAGCCTGCATAATATGGCTTTAGATGTTCGCGATGCCTGGCATGGTCTTGTACCCAGCCGTCGTTCTCCGGTCTAAAGTCAGATTTATGCTGAACCCGCTCCGCCCAGTGTTTACTGCGAGAATCTGCACGATATGTGCTCACATGTTCGTGGTGCCGGGCATGATCCTGCACCCAGCTGCCGGTTTCCGTTTCAAGGTCACTTTCATGCTCCACCGTCTCCGTCCAACGATGATCATATGTTTTCTCTATATTGCTCTGTTCCTCATCTTCATGTGGCTGGTTGGTAGCTTCGGAGGGTCTTGAACGACGGGTCCTACCAGGATGGGCAAAAACCATGGCATGCTCCGGCTCAAAAGCTAACCACTCAGTGCCATTGATACGATATGCACTCGAGGTACCGTGGTAGAACTCCGTTCCTTGAGGTACCGTGGCAATGAAGACGGACATGCCATTGTGCTGCATGACGCTGCCGAACATCTTCATGGAGTTATGCAGAGCATTGAAGATGTGGCTGGCATGAGTAGAGCCATCTGGCACAGAAAGTCGTTCTTCAGCTGGGAATGGGCTGGATGCCACCGTCCACGGCAATAAAGCCCAAGCTAGCCGCTTGATATCGAACTTCATGTCTGTCGAATATCCACCACTTCGATGCCTAAGGCAATATATTAAGAAAGAGGATTCCCGTTGGCATAGAAGTCATGCCAAGCTCCTTATGAAGTAGATCGGATTTGGGTCTCTCAGGGGCAGGATCCCGGGATGACGCGGTCTCCACTTCACACAGCTGAGACTAAAGGCATGGAAGGGGAAATTTGAATAAGCGCTTCGACATTAGTGACATCGAGGTATTGGGAGTATTGTATGATTCGGCCATAGGTATGAGCATGTCACTTGATGTGGCATCACGGCACATAAGACAGCCAACAGGCATTATGCCTGCGGACTAGCCGGGTATGGTCCGTTCGGTCTCTCGCGGTCCCATCCAAGAACCGGGAAGCAGATTCGGGCCTCGGAGATAACGATATCAAGGGTACAATGCATCGGATGCCAACCTCAGTCGGCAGGATACAGCAACCCGGGTGTTATTGACCCACTCGGTCGCGGGGACGTTGTTGGCTGAAATCGGAACGACCGGCAGCAATCCGTGGATATAGTGGTTCCCTATAAGGATACTCAATGCTGACCGTGCATCGGAGTTGATGTTCCGGCCCAATTTAAGCAGCTGATTTATCTTATCTGATCCAGGTGTCTCGTGGGTTGGCTCGCCAGTCCCACTCAGCCCTGAAGTACTATCATCCTGCGCTTGGCATCCCTCCCAGTCCATCCAACCACATCTGATTGCATGTAGGATACCCCTGCAACCGAAGTTGGTCCTTCCATATCTCGGTTGCGAAGTTTACGGGCTCACACCACTCTCACTGGTATCTTCCTTCTCCGTACAGCTGTGCAGCACATGACGGATGCCCAGAATTCGATTCTTGACCCGTGTCTTGGATGCAATATACGATGTCAATTGACATTGGCTGTAGAGAGGAGGGGGTGCGAGATGGAGCTCCACGATTAATTCGCTTCCGGATTGCTCTTTCCGCGAATGAGCACTATATAGCGGCCTCTGGACGACTTGGAACTGGGTATCAGAGCACATTACTTCGAACAACTTCCTGATTACCGTTATTCTCCTCATCTTTGACAAAGGCATAGGCTGGCCAAGGTGCTCATTGAGTTCAAAACCTTGCTTAGTCTTTTTCAGACACTTAATTGGGCATTCTTTCAAGTGAAAGTCTCCGAGATAGTCCACACCGTATTCCTCATTATGAAGTTGACTATCCCTCTTCTACTCCTCGGGGCTGTCTCAACGGTCAATGGGTGAGCATAATTATTCTGCTACAGGAAACGCTGTGACTATACTGACAGTGTCTAGCTTGAGTGAGTGCATCCTCAACTGCCAAGCCGAGGCTGCAGCAAGCGACTGCAGCACCAGCAACTAGTAGGTTGATACGGTTATATCCGCTTCTGGGAAAGCAAGTATCTCATTATCAATCCACAGCAATCAGACCAGCTGCTACTGCAACAACGGTGACTTTCCCATTGATGTGCAATCTTGCCTAGAAAAGTATGGAAATACTACGCTAAGTATGACCGCATGCATATGCTAACACAGACAAGGAGCTGCTCGAATGATATCGGATCCTTCCACACCTATCGTGGTTCACAGTGTGGAGGTTCTTCTGCTACAACCACCGCAACTGCAGCTGCTTCGACGTCGACCATAACCCTGAGTAGCTGCATCCTTGAATGCCAGTCTACTGCCGCCGACACTGTAGGTGGCGTTTGTTCGTCCAGCAGCTAGTATGTACCCACAACTTTCTACCTCCTCCACCCACAGAAAGCTAACTCCAACACCCAGCAACAACACAGCGTGCTATTGTGACTCGGATTCCTTCGCCACCCAAACTCAGGACTGCATTTTCTCGTCCGTATCCCCTACCCTTCCTTACTAGACCAGTATCAGCCAAGCCTAACAAAACCCAGGGACTGCGCCGGCCAAGATGGAACTTTTCACCAATGGCGCGGAAGTATTTGCGCATCCAGCACAACTACAAGCAGTTCCACCTCAGCTGCGACATCCACCAGCAGTAGTTCCGGCAGCTCCGGACTTAGCAAAGGTGCCATCGCAGGAATTAGTGTCGGCTCTGCCGTAGCCGGGATTGCAATTATCTCCTTGATTGTATTTACGCTCCTACGCCGTCGGTGGAAAGCCACAAATACTTACAACAAGGACAGTGACCCTAAGAACTTTCCGCTTCACAAGCTGGCTTCGGCTTCGACGTCTGTTGCGTGAGCCTAGCCCTCTGCAAGTGAAACACCTCAAGATAAGTATGTAGATTAGAAGGGCTATATACTATGCGGCAATGACACAATGATCTTTCCATTCCTACTAGCTCTACTACCTATCCACCTTGTCATACCGTAGCACACCACATCAAAGTAGAACCTAGAAAGGATGTAGGACTAGCCATATTACAACCGAGTACTTTTCTCGTAAGAAGAAACCCTTCCCCCTTTTGAACCGTCCCGAGCTAGCCGTGCCAACTCGCTCTGTGGCAATCCTCATTCTAACTTGACATAGCAGCTCCTGCATGTAGTTACAACTACACATAAGCAGCCAACCACAAAACACCTCAATGTTAACCCAAACGTACAAACATACATGCAGCCATAACCATACTCACATCAAGCATGAACGACACAAAACTCAGCCAAATGAAGATTTTACACAAATGGCTAACCAAAGAATCACTACAAGCAGTAGATACGTACTACACAAATAAATGATTATTTATGCAGATTGAACAATCTGACTAATATACCATAGAAACCCTAACTAGTTAACTATGCACGTCGCAAAGTACTACCAAATGCGGAAACTAGCGCCGGGGCGCTAATATATGCAAGGATAGCGTCTAAGATAAGTTTTAAAGGAGCATAGGATGATGATGCAATGCTTGAATGTTTTCGGGGAAGATGTAACGCGATATAAGCGATACAAGTATTGTGCTGTGTGGATTGGATCGTTTTATATAGTATGTCTTCATTTTGCGGGAACAGCCAGGCTCTTAGGAAGATCAGGAGGGCGGACAAGCAGGTCGAGACGAAGAGCCTTTATATACATTATGCTTTTCACAGGGAAGATAATTCTCATAATGTTATGCTTGTATGGTACTTATCCTGATTAAGTTACATCAGTCAATCAATCTCTTCTTGAAGACGGACCCTTCCTTGTTACGTGGTCTTGTTCTACGACATTCGCTCTTGCTCCAAGTATCTAGAGGGAGAAGCAACCGTACACATCTTCAGTGGCACGATGCAAATTAGCTAGAGGAAACTATAGACCCCGGTCAACATAACCCTGGCCAATCACGCTATGAATGGACATTAAATGACCCAGCGTGAGACACAACTCGTCAGACATGAAAGTAAAGGCGATTAAACATTTGTGGCGCATAACTCCAGCGGATATACTGCATAACACGGTTCAGGGTGATGACAAGTTCAAGCATGCGTTGTCGGTTTGTTACTCTCCCCTCGAGTTCGCGAATAGGACCCCGGATATGCTGCAGTTGTCAGTTCAAATAGAAATACAAAGCAACAAGCATAATTTAGCATACCACTTCAGTCAACCTCCCAACAGCACAAGAAACGCTATATATTATATAGAATTTCCAGACAGGCCCCACCACTGTGCATCCAACAACAGGTGGAGGGGGCATATCCGGACAGACATGTCGATAAGACTCATGAGCCCAAGACATTAGACCAGCCATCCATACTCCCAATTGTGCCTGAGTTTCAGCACCAGTACCATCAAGCCCTTTGACTTTAACACCGAGGCCAAGTAGCCTTTTCCCTGTATGAACATTCTCGATGTGACTCAGCTCTCTATCGCGGATATCTATCCCGGCGAGCCTATATGACTCTCCCCAAGGCTCTTTCGGTACACCAACGACCAAGTCAAGGTTGCTGTTGAACATGCCTCTGGCACTATGCTGAGGCCGATACCTGTCCCTCATAGGCTCCGCTTGCCTGCAATCGAGTCTATTAGCTTTCCCACCCTTGCTGCGGAATGTGCACGGTGACTTACACGCTCCACGACTCCAAGGGCAGATCATTGATGGCCAAGTCCAAGATCGGTCGGACATAGTCCATCACCCATGAGCCTTTACTCCGCTCCTCCCTGGCACAACGATAGCATGCAGATATTATCCTACTCATTTTATGTTCAGAACCATCAGATATCCAAGCAGGTTCGCCATGTTTCAGAAAGTGTAAGAGATAATGGACGTTTTGGTCGTCAGGCAGCATGCTCTGATTCTCGAAGATGATACTTGGTGTAGCTTCTGCAAGTCTGTCCCTCAAGTCCGTGACGATTTGGGTTCGCCTTCTGATCCCAGAATCAGACATTGATAATGGTAATGACTCGTCGCTTTCACCAAACTCCGTTCTAAAAGCTTAAAATGGCTTTAGCCCGCTGTTTCAAGTGGGAGATATCGGGTAACTCACCCCCAATGCTCTCATCTTCGATGCGTTCTTGTCCTGCTTCCTCGCGATTGTTCCGTCGAAACCATTCGCCTGCCATCTCGAGCAGATTTGGGCTTTGACAGTCCGTTGAAGAGACAACAACGTTCTGGATTAATGACGATAGAGTCACTAATGATAAGCTATGAAGATAAGGGAAGCGAAGGTCGTATTCGTGATAGATGTGATTGGAGGGAATGTGGTGGGATCAAGGAGTGTCGAGGAATTGTTGATATCCCAGCAGGACAGCTGAAAGGAAGGGCTCACCCTCTAATCCTAACCTGCCAAATCGGGATTGGGTTCTCAGATGGACTAATAATTCCCAGTTTATTCCTTAACAAAGGATACTGAGACCTAACGAGTCAAATATTGATGTTAGATTATGCAACCACCTAGGAGACAACCTCTCCATCTTACTAAAAATTTCCGATATTAAACTCTACGCATCCAGCAGCCCGCGCCCTATGCACGCGAAGATACCTGTGACTTGTAGCAGTAAGATCAAAGATTACTCGTGCTGTGTCACCTGAATTTACTGTTGGAAGCTTTGGATTGAGGTAATCCAGCTACTTCAGAGTCCATTTGTTCTACTACAGCACTTCTGTAGTCATTGCTGAAGCTATTCCCGAACACAATGGGAGTAAGAGAGCCACCAGAAAAGTGAATCTAAATCACACCAGAAGATATCGTACCATAAGTATGTCAGTATCTTAAGCTAGGTTCCTATGGAAAGTGACCCAATTCCATATAATTGCATCAATTCAATTCATCAAGTATATTAACGGATCAAGCCTGACACTGCGATTTTAGACATAGAGGAGCTTCACGGTCTGAAGCAGGTGAATCAGGGCTAAAAGCCGTGAATGCACCATATCATACATATATAAACCCGCAATTCGCCTTTTTGAGCTATCATCCATCTACTTCTCAATATCTTATCATGTTCACTAGATCTCAGCTCCACTCTTCTGAGCCTTCGCTAGGTGACTATACCCGGGATGAATGGGCATTAAAATAAGTATGAGATTGATATTTTAGTAGGAGGTTGCGGTGTCCCACTTAATACCTTACAATGGTTAAAGGAATTGGCTTGTTGACGCTCCTAATAGAAGCACAACCGAACAAAGCCAAACCCGTCTTGGCTCCTCTGAACAAGGTAGAATTCATGATTATTGGGGAAAGGTAGAGAAGTCTAAACGACCTTTTATGCAATGAAGTTATTGGAGATTTAACCCTGAATCTTCCACTGCCTTTTGGTATAGTTCGTTACATCTGTGATGCAGCAGTGAGTATTGCAGTCATATACAGAGACAAAGTACGATATCCAGATTGACAGTACTATCTATGATCTTACGACGTGGAACAACAGCGTCTACGTTTTCTAGACAGCTTAGCTGCCAAAATAAAACTGTCAAAGAGAAAGATACCAGTTACACGAGAAGATGAGAAATAACACCCTTGCACATGGAACATATGAAGTCGATGGTGGCAAACTGCGAGGTGGCCCCTTCTATATTCTGTGGCAGCGGTAACATCGAAAAATTACCCCGAAATCCTTTTGAAACACCTCTTATGACCTGTATCCTACCGAACACTATTTTCGCAACTAGGCTTGATGTGCTATTGGGGATGTTAGTCTTTATGTCATTGAAACCGAGCATCGACTATCACAATGGCCCAACATGGGCAGTGCTGGGATATGCCAATTATTCAAATGTACCTGACTGAGCTCCAATTGACACTACAGCTTCTCTAACAAGCTAAAACATCAAATGACATTGGAGATTAGTGAGCAGCAGAAGTGGCAGGAGGATTTGGCACGCCTGCCAAGTGGGTAGTAGCTGCCTCGTTATACCCACGGCAGCTCAATGACCCGAGAGCAACTTGTGATGGTAGCTCAAGGAAACTATCTTTCAGAGGAATTATCTTTCCATGCTCTTCGCCAGTGGTAAGCCCATCCCGTGAAAGTTGTTAGGGCCTTTCGGAACTTATGCTTACCAATTACAAGGGCATAATGCCAAAAATAGAAATTTTGAGAAGACTGGAAGAGTGTCGAGGACCTACCAATTGATTCCTATCGCCTCATCCTGTCTGATTTCCCCGGAAAACATCGCGGGAATGATAGGACCTACCGAGAGTGATGGCTAGATGATACTGAGATGATATCTTAGACAATTTCAGATTCAGGGAACTTGACAAGAAATTCAGACAGGCACTACAATGTAAAGGAGAAGGGCCTAACGAAATGTGGGCTTCCAAAGAATCAACTTTTTGAAGCGCACAGAAAAGCCCCAGTGGTTCAGCAACTGCGTGTGGACTCCCACCGATAGACTCCAAACAGATCGACTGCTCACTTGAGATTGACAGAAAAGGGGAACATTGAGAGCTTCCGTCACATCCGTATGACTGCCCTTTTGGGATTCTACTTTCGTCTACTCGCATGTCTCTCTATCTTAGCAAAATAGTACTACCACTGTCAATATCACCTTTCTACAACCTTTTACCCGCTCTATCCGAGTAGGCATCCACTTCTTCCCCCTGTAGACGAAGGTGACATCGATAGACTACGTAAATAGTAACGTACAGGACACCAACTCCCAATCCGACACGGACAGACGGAGCTGATACTCAACGAAATGTAACAAAATCGCGCATGATTGCTAATGTCCTCTCCACGTAGACGGCAAGGCCGAAGACCGAAAGCTCTCCTCAAACCCACGGATGTAGAAAACCACACTATGTATGCACGCGAAGTCACAAAAGGCGTTATCCCCGAGAAATAGCGCATGATACGTGGGGGTTAGCAGGGAAGCGAGGACCTTCACGGTTTCGGACATGGTTCAAATGACCCGAGGAGCTGATGATCCGTCGCGGAGACGGTGGCAAGTGTGCTGCAGGCTGGAGGCATCACACCGAGAGTCGTGGACTAGTCGTGAGATGACTGCGGAGCTGAGACTAGCTTCACTATTTTGGGGATTCGCTCAGGGAAAGCGGAAAATGCCGCTAATGGTGTCTGAGACCTCGTTCTACATCTGATAAGAGGGTAGTATTCGGTTCAAGGATGGCCGTTGTGGGTATAGGCGTACTGTCAGCCCTGCATCTGTTTTGATTATGAATCAGTAGACGCCTAGAAGCATTTGATGGTAAGAACAACTCATCTGTGTTAGGGCCAGAGTTGCTTTTGATAGAGAGGGGAACTCAAGGCATCAACAAGCCGTGGGGTTCCCTTTCCGGTGGAGCTTACAAGGACGAGTATCAGCATCTCTTCTCAAAAGTTTGGTTATCTTTGCACGCTCTTATGCCGTCATTGGTGGTATCTATCGAAGTGTGACCGAGTTATGATCGGCAATAGCTTCCATGAGACTCAAAATAGTGACCTTGTGACGTGAGATGCTTCGAGATTGCGACTAGTAACCTTACTTGGCCGGTATAGAGTCCACCGTTCCTATTTTTATTTCATTTAATCTATGATCCCTGTCGGAAGGAGGTAGAGTTACTTTCCCACAACGGGGATGGGCCATCCTGCGTCTTGCATGTGCTGTATGGGGGGTGCGGGTGGTATCTCCACGAGGTCGTCTAATGTGTCAGGTCCGATGGGTACCTGCTTCGATTCAGAAACAACACTGATGAAGCATATTACTTCATGAAATTAGTTAGAAATGGTAATAATCAACCTCAGCTTCAACTTCAACAATGGCCAAGTCGAAGATAACAGCCGTTTGTCCTACAGCAGAAGCGTAGCTAAGCGTCGAGCACAGGCCTCTCTTATAATAAGCCGTGATAATCCCTGCTGCGAAAGGATCTTCCAAAAATAACCAGCACCTACAGCGACCGCCGATTTGTCAAATCACATTGTGGACACACCCTGGGGGTGGATAGATAGACTAGTAGTCGACAAGTTGTACATGGGGGAGGTGGACGGGAATCTGCAGGCTAACCGGCATTGGCAAGCTTCTAGTACGCTAAGCGCCGACCCCCTCACGGTGAGATATTAGGGCTGCTCTATTAATAGCGGATGAAAGGCGATCGGACATTTTTTAAACAGTCGGCGCCAATGAAACCCTGTCACTAGACAGGGTTAGCCAAAAAGGCTTCGATCGTTCGATATGCCAATCACGGCTCGCCAACGACTCTATCTTCTGCAGAAATAGTCGCCAGGGTAGACGACCGTGTTTCGCGTGGCCCACCCTCGTATACCGTTACTTTCGGCACTTTGGAGGCGTGAAGGATTCATGCCTGGCGCCCATTCTTGCACCAATGGGAGAATCGGATTGCTTGTGCGTGCTGTGGGCGCCTTCAGGCTTGCTGTGAGTCGAGGCTGTTAATAGATACAACATTCTGGGTTTCAAGAGCCGGGTGCGGTACTGCGTTTGATTGCACATGCAAGCCTTCTTCTTGTGGCTGTCGGTCTGTTGGAAATATTTCTTATATAGCCCTTCTTCCAGCTGGATACATCCTCGATTTTTTCTCTTCAGGTTTCCAGCCATCCTATAGTCAGTGCTCAAGAAGAGAGCTCTACTCTTCCTTTTCTCTCCTTCAACTCTTCACAATTGCTATTATTCTTCTGAGTTACCATTCAGCATTTGTCCTTGAGCTTCCAATTTCAATCCTCGCATACAGTGTATGCTATCTTTGAACTTGCCACCATCTCCTCATACATCAACTTTGTATCAAGCATCCGGAATGCGTGCGAACCTCTTTCTCCTGGGCTGCCTGACAGCAGGCTCCATGGCAGCGCCAACCCTCCTCAACGACATATACGACTATTCGTCGGACTTAGCCACCTACCTCGGAAAAGTGAGCAAGTACATCGAGAGCACGGGAGAAGAACTCATTAAGAGCGCCAACTCATGCGATACATCCAAAATTTCTCTTCCATCATACGCCTCCAGCCTGCCCTCACCATCCGGAATGAGCCCAATCTATGTGGCAGTCGGCCGTGGCACCCAGGTAAGCAGAAGAAGACCCGCCTACTGTCACACAGTCAATGCAGGGGGAGACCCGGCCGAACTGACAAGCCCCTCCTTAGAACTACACCTGCGCCACCTCGACCTCGGACTCAACGCCCCAAGCCATAGGTGCAGTGGCGCGTCTTTACAACGCGACCTGCATCGCGGCCAATTACCCGGACATGTTGTCGTTACTCCCGGGTATAGTGTACAAGGAACAGTTGCCCAGTAACGAGGAGGATCCCCTCCCGCCGGCGAACCTTGAACTCTTGGGTCACCATTTCTTCAGAGATACGACTACCCCGGTTTTTAACCTGGATACTTTGCCATCTCGGCAGTATGGGATTGCGATCACAAAGAAACAAGACTCGCTTGATGCTCCATCGAGTGCTATTCAGGGTAGCAATGGGGCTGTCCAGTGGCTTTACCTGACCACTATCAATGGTACAGTCGGTGAGTATAAAGCGGTCTATCGAGTAGACACGGTTGCCGGTGCAGCTCCGAAGACCTGCCAGGGGATGCAGTCGGTGTTCACTGTTCAGTATGCGGCCAATTACTATTTCTATGGTGCATGACGGCGAGTGATGTACAGAGCAGTTGCACTGTTAATAGACGGAAATGAGACAATTTTTCATGACAGGTTCACTTATACATCATAGTAGAATAATCGGTAGCGCGTAATTCTGGCCCATTAGGTAGTGTAGCTGTCAACCCTGCAACTGTTGAGAGTCAGTCTTAAGCGCCGAGCCGTCAGAGAAGAGCGATGCGCCTTCCGATTGGCAGGGCTGGCCAGCGTCAGGTGACCTCGCTATCCAGCGCGATCACGTGCCTTAAGTGCCCACAGCAGCAAGCCACGCTAGCACCCAACGGGGCCTAGCGCAGACTGAATTTCGAAAGAATCCAAGGCTCCGTCTGAAAAATCTCGACCGCAACAACGACAAACAGCACGGCCTCGACCGAACACTGAACGCCAGTGCGGGTGCGATTTTTTTTGCAAAAGCTTCTATTCAAGGTCCTCGAGACTCGACAATTCCGGATTTTCCTTCTCCCGAACGGGCCTTCCTTGCCAATTTTTCTTTTTCCTATTCTCCGGTTAAACCGCAACCGAAGAATCGAAGCATCAGTCCGATAATTTTTCTGGACTGAGAGCATTTGGACTTTACGTCTTCGTCGACCTTTTTCGATTTAAATCACATATATCACAATGGCATTCGGTGGTCCTCGTGGTGGTGGCCGTGGTGGTGGCCGTGGTGCTCCTCGTGGAGGTGGTGGCGGCCGTGGTGGTAGAGGTTTGTTCACCATCGATTGATTTCATCTTGGGAGAAACGTGGCAGGCAGGCATATGTGATCTTTTCGCATTGTTGTTGTCGATCATGTTGGAACTTGCTTCTTGTGACGGAGAACCTTGTTCTTGTCCCAGAGCATATCAGGTTTTCCAATATGAGCGACTCGACTCGCGTGCCGGAACTGCGGTTATCCCTTCACGGAAAAAAGGAACATGTCGCTAATCTTTGCACGTTCTATAGGCGGTCTTGGTGCCGGTGGTCGTGGTCGCGGCGGTGGCCGTGGTGCTCCCCGCGGTGGTCGTGGTGCCCCCCGTGGCCGTGGTGGTCCTCGCGGCGGTGGTCGCGGCGGTGCTAAGGGTGCCAAGGGTGGTGCTAAGGTCATCATTGTAGGTGTTTCCTGTTAAATCGATCGAGAAGAGAGACGTTGTATGGAGTCTAACCGGGTTTCGTCTAGGAACCCCACCGTCACGCTGGTGTCTTCGTCGCCCGTGGTGGTAAGGAAGATTTGCTCGTCACCAAGAACCTTACTCCCGGAGAGGCCGTCTACGGTGAGAAGCGCATCTCTGTTGAGTCCCCCGCTGAGGAGGATGGCACTGTGACCAAGACCGAATACCGTGTCTGGAACCCCTTCCGTTCCAAGTTGGCTGCCGGTATCCTGGGTGGTCTGGATGACATCTACATGCGCCCTGGCTCCAAGGTCCTGTATCTCGGTTCCGCCAGCGGTACCTCCGTCAGTCACGTTGCCGATATCGTCGGACCTACTGGTAACGTCTACGCTGTTGAGTTCTCCCACCGTTCCGGCCGTGACTTGATCGGCATGGCTACCCACCGCACCAACGTTATCCCCATCGTCGAGGACGCCAGACACCCTCTTCGTTACCGTATGCTCGTCCCCATGGTCGATGTCATCTTCGCCGATGTTGCCCAGCCCGACCAGGCCCGTATTGTCGGCCTGAACGCCCACATGTTCCTCAAGGAGGGCGGTGGTGTCATTGTCTCCGTCAAGGCCAACTGTATCGACAGTACCGCTAAGCCCGAGGTTGTGTTCGCTCGTGAAGTCCAGAAGATGAGAGAGGAGCGGATCAAGCCCAGGGAACAGCTGACCCTGGAGCCTTTCGAACGTGACCACTGTATAGTGTCTGGTATCTACAAGCGCTCTGCATGAATTTAAGAAACAAAAAGAATCCGGTGGTTTTTGCTCTTTTGTCTCTCTCATGTCATAATTACTTATGCTTCCCCTTTATACGGCGTCGAGTGTTCCGTGATCTGTTGCAATTTTCTTCGATTTTTTCCTTGTGTGTCCTCATGTCCAGGTTTCTTAGATGTACTTCTTGAGTCAGAAAATTTCGAGGTTTACGGTTTCTGGTCGTTCAAGAATTTAGCTGCTAATTAAGCTGGTCAATGATTCACCATCCTTTTGTGTAAAACAAAATGTAGTTGCTAGACGCTTTTCATAGCCCATCGTACGTTGATCTATCTCGGACTTTCCCCGGCCATCCGCTTTCTGCCCACATCTCGGCACTCGGACCGTTCAGCGGAGAACAGACCGAAATGCCTCATCAGATTCCACGAATCGGACTTGCTGCGTGGATCCATGACGTTCGACTAATGAGAGGCTTCATCTTGAGCAATTCCACGATGATTGAGGGACTTTTCGTTCGGGATGGGGGCAATTGAAGGACTGCCACCACAGTAGCTGTGGTAAAGTCTCCGCTCAACCCCGCAGCAGGCTGACTGCCTTGACTATATAAGAAGTTGTATAATGTGACTTCACTATCACTTACCTCAGAAAGCCAGGCTACCACAACCCACCCACCTTACGACCTACAACACAGTTACCAAACCACAATTACAACTCAACATGTCCATACTCATCACGGGAGCCAGCGGCTACGTTGGACAAGAACTCGCCGCAGCCCTCCTCACCACCCTCCCATCATCGACAGTGACACTCACAGACGTCGTTCTCCCCACAGTCCCCAAGAGCGCAGCCCAACATGCCTCTCGCACACAATGCATCGAAGCAGACCTCACGAACCCAAGCGTCGTCGACACACTCATCACCTCCACCAACCGCTACGACACCATCTACCTCCTCCACGGCATCATGTCCAGCGGATCCGAAGCCAACTTTGAACTAGGAATGCGCGTCAACCTCGACGCAACCCGCTATATCCTCGACCGCCTCCGCACCGTCACCCCCGGCGTGAAAATTGTCTTCACCTCCAGTCTGGCAGTATACGGCCTCGCACCACCAGGCTACATCATCAACGAGAGTAACTTCCCCGCCGTGCCGTCCTCGTCATACGGATCCCAGAAACTCATCATCGAGACGCTGCTCAATGACTACTCCCGTCGCGGGTTCCTGGATGGTCGTGCTGTCCGCCTCCCCACTGTTACTGTCAGGGCGGGGAAGCCGACGCAGGCGGCGAGTAGCTTCGCGAGTGATATCATTCGGGAGCCGTTTAATGGCCGACCTGCGGTGTTGCCAGTTGCTAAGGAGACGGAGATGTGGATTTGTTCGCCTGCGACGGTGGTGAGGAACTTGGTGAAGGCGAGGGAGATTCCGGCGGAGAAGTTTGGGGACTCGAGAGCGGTCAATTTGCCTGGGTTGAAGGTTAGCATTGCGGAGATGTTGGAGGCGTTGGAGAGTATTGGTGGGAAGGAGAAGAGGGCCTTGGTGCAGGAGAGATATGATGAGGATGTTGATCGGATTGTGCAGACGTGGACGCCTAATTTTGATAAAAAAAGGGCGTTGGAGTTGGGGTTCGTGGGGGATGTGTCCATGAGGGAGAATGTGGAGATGTATGCGAAGAGTTTGGGGAGTGAGTAGTCTAGATTGTATTCAGTTGTGACGGCAGTAGTGGAAGTAATCGATTCATATGCTATTTGGACTCATTGTATGGAGGTTAACTGCTTTGGGAATAGTGGAGTCATGTGATATGTAGTAATAAGTGTAGGGAGTATCAAAGTAGAAGATTGGTATCTGATTCTTGATGTCTTTGATTAGTATAGGCCCGGTCTGGCTACGATCGATGTTTGTACAGTTCTGAATGGCGGTCTCTAGACTGTGCTGGTAGCAACAACTGTCTAAGCAAAAGAAGCTAGGGAACAGTCGGAGCGAATGCGGTGGTTTGGAAAAGCGGGTCATGTGATTGGCTGGCGGATGGGCGAACAATTTGACTCCCGAACTTCAACCTCGCATCTCCAAGGCTGACCTGACCGTCTTGTTGCACCCTTCCTCATTCCTCCCTCCTTCCCCCCAACCCACCTCCATCTTCACACAATGGCTTCTCGGCGCCTAGCGTTCAACCTTAACCAGGCTCTCCGGAGCAAGGCCGCCCTGAAGGCCATCCAGCCCGTCAAGCGTGGCTTCGCTTCCCCGGTCACCTTGCCTTCCACCACCCAGTCCACCACTCTCTCCAACGGTTTCACGGTACGCCGAATGGGTTATCTCAATGGCTCAAGGAACTCACTGACTTGCCTCAGATCGCTACTGAGTACTCCCCATGGGCTCAGACCTCCACTGTTGGCGTGTGGATCGATGCCGGTAGCCGGGCAGAGACTGACAAGACCAACGGAACCGCGCACTTCCTGGAGCACCTTGCTTTCAAGGTATATTTAAATTGCAAATTGAAGGCTTGGAAATGCAATTGCTGACATCTACCAGGGCACCAACAAGCGTTCCCAGCACCAATTGGAGCTCGAGATCGAGAACATGGGCGCTCACCTGAACGCCTACACATCGGTACGGCCCGGAAACATGGAAGAATCAATCCCCTTGGATCGCAACTAACGCCGCATGAACACAGCGCGAGAACACCGTCTACTACGCCAAGTCCTTCAACAACGATGTCCCCAAGGCCGTCGACATCCTCGCCGATATCCTTCAGAACTCCAAGCTGGAGCCCACCGCCATTGAGCGTGAGCGCGACGTCATCCTCCGTGAGCAGGAGGAGGTCGACAAGCAGCTCGAGGAGGTTGTTTTCGACCACCTCCACGCCACTGCTTTCCAGAACCAGCCCCTCGGTCGCACCATCCTCGGCCCCAAGCAGAACATCCAGACCATCTCCCGTGACAACCTGGTCGACTACATCAAGACCAACTACACTGCTGACCGCATGGTCCTCGTTGGTGCCGGTGGTATCCCCCACGAGCAGCTCGTGAGACTCGCTGAGGAGCACTTCGGTGGCCTCCCCAGCAAGCCCCCGACCTCTGCTGCCCTGGCCCTCACTGCTGAGCAGAAGCGTACCCCCGAGTTCATTGGTTCCGAGGTCAGAATCCGTGACGACACTCTCCCCACTGCTCACATTGCCCTTGCCGTCGAGGGTGTCAGCTGGAAGGACGATGACTACTTCACCGCTCTCGTCACCCAGGCCATCGTCGGTAACTGGGACCGTGCCATGGGTAACTCCTCCTACCTTGGCAGCAAGCTCAGCTCCTTCGTTGAGTACCACGGCCTTGCCAACAGCTTCATGAGCTTCTCCACCAGCTACAGCGACACTGGGTATGTTATTTACTGTTTGCTTTTCTAGGAGGTTCGCTAATTGATTGAAACATAGTCTGTGGGGTATCTACCTGACCTCCGAGAACGTCACCCGCCTCGAGGACCTCATTCACTTCACCCTCCGTGAATGGTCCCGCCTGAGCTACAACGTCACCTCCGCTGAGGTTGAGCGCGCCAAGGCTCAGCTCAAGGCCTCCATCCTCCTCTCCCTGGACGGCACCACCGCCGTTGCCGAAGACATTGGTCGCCAGATCATCACCACCGGCCGCCGCCTCAGCCCCGAGGACATTGAGCGCACGATCGGCCAGATCACCGAGAAGGACGTCATGGACTTCGCCTCCCGCAAGCTGTGGGATCAGGACATTGCCATGAGCGCTGTCGGCAGCATCGAGGCCGTCCTGGACTACAACCGTATCCGTGCGGACATGAGTCGCAACTCTCTGTAAAAAGGGAGAGCTCATGAAAGTGGATTGAGAGTGTGCGAGTGAGAGAAGAAGAAGGAGAAGAAGATTTATGGCCCGTGTTTTCTTGTTTTGGTGATTTTCTAATAGATAGAAGCGGTGGTCGTGCCCGAAGGAGCGTGTCATGTACAGTACACAACTGTCGCTATATCAAAATGTATTTGTTTAGTTTCAGTTTGCACGTAAAACGCATCAGTCAGGTAACAGTCACTCATATTTTTCACTCCAGAGAAATCAACAATCAGAACAAAGAACACCAACAACACCAAGTGTCCAAAAATTCCTCATCACCTCCTACACAAAAACTATATACCCAAAATAGAAAAAAGATCAAAATCAAAATCAAATCACTGATACGCCATCCCCGCGGGAGCCTTATATCCCTGCTGCGCACCAGGCCCCTCCAACAACGCCGCCCGACTCTCCAATTCCTTCTCATGCTGCATGAGCGTGCAGCACGGGCAGCAGAACGACCGCATACAGTCCCCGCATCCGGACCCCTCAAGCCCGAATCTCTCTCTGATTTGGCCGCGCTTCATCATCAATGGGATGAAGTGGAAGCCGCAGTAAGCGAGAAGGAAGTAAACGCAGCACTGTATTACATTATCAGTATTAGTATCAAATTGGTTGTTATAGGAGGAAGGATGGGTTTGGCTGTATAGTATTAGGGATAGGGGACGTACACCACCGTTCATCATGCTATCGTCTTTCAGGGTGGGGTCTTCGAGACGAGAACTGGTGCGGCCGTGGAGGCAGCAGGGGCAGCAGAAGGCGAGGGAGCCTGTTCATTGTGTAAGTATATTTGGTTAGTTTTGGGGGTAATTGGGGGTTGTTGAGAGGGGAGGGAGGGGGAGGGAGACGTACAGGTGCCGCAGGGGGAGCAGCAGTCCCAGAAGCTGGAGGACCATTCTTGACCTTCACCCATTTTGATTGATTATCTGTTTTTAAGTACGTGTGGTTGTGGTGGTGAGAAATTGGGATTTGTGATGAGCGAGAGATGATTATAAGGGTATCTTGTTGTATGAAAAGAAATAAGTGAACGAATGTATAGATTCAAAATAAGATCGTGTATGTTACTATAGTAGAGAATGAATGAAAGAATGTAATCTCGAACCACCGTCAGCAAAGCACCTCCTCGGGGTCTTATACCTTTTGTCCAAAACCCCCCTATAACTCACTAACTTCTGTCTCTGATTATAATTACGCCCAATCTTGCTACGCCCAATCTTGCATGGGGGCGATGCAAATCCCACGGCACTGACAGCAACTAGAAAGCAAAATTTTCAAATAAAGGGTACGAAAGCTCAAAAAAAAAAAAGAAAATCAGCCCCAGGACAGACTCCACACACGAACACAGCCTTGCATTAGCGTTAGTTGGCGTTCAGGTAAACCAAAACAGACAGCCGTTGATCGTCTATCCATCCACACGCACTAGACTAAGTAGTATAAAGTAAGGACAGGAATCCAAGGGGCCGCCCGCTGGCTGAGGCTGATTGGTATGATTTGGCTTAGATGAATTAGGATCGGGCCAAGGAATTAATTTAGACGACTTTAGTAGTGGCTGTCTATCTCTACCTCGCAGGTTTTGGCCCTTTGGTTTGGGGGCCAACAGCAACCTCAAACACATGGGTGTCAGGGTTGTCAGGGCGTAAGCGAGGGCTACGGCAGTCAAAGGGTAAGGGGGTGTTTTAGGTTTTCTTGGTTTCTTGGCTTGAGGTAGATAAAAGTGTTCTATGAGGATGCGCGGTGAATAATTCCGGAAGAAGAGATGGTAGTTCGTATTGAAGGCTGAGACATGGGAAGGTTGAAGGGTGGATGTTTAGGTAACAAGATCGTGTGATTAGGGGGATCGCGGGAAGGAAAACACGGGCGTGGATCGCGATCATGGCTCGCTCGCTGGCTGACCGCGGCCTGGGCGTCGATTCTGCCTAGATAGGGTCCTTCTATCCATGTGAACAATCTTAGCAACTCCATATGAGACTAACAATGCAATCTAAGCTTTTCTGGAGCCCCTGTTACTCGGGTCGAAATGGTTTCAGCCACTGCCACAATCGCACAGGGTGCATTGCTTAGCCATTTCATTTAATTAATCCTGAATTCAGCTGCGGCTTCTACTTTCTGTGCCGGGATGATGGTGACGAGCATGGTAGGTATTGGTGCCCCCCCACAGCTTGGCCTAACAGTACTAACGACAGACTAGGTAGATTGCTTGTGCGGATAATCAGGCTACAGTGACTTCTTTGGCGGATTGTGACTGCTACTGACACAGTGCTGGAGGCTCGACAACCAGACCGCTGAACTCGCCGAGCTGAGTTCGACAAGGATGCTAGGCACTAGCCAGGAAACTAACGCGTTGGTATGCTCCTTGGGCACAATGTCACCCAGAAGAATGTTTTTGCTTCGGTTGTACGGAACCGTCCACCTGTCAACAAAAGCAAACAACGGAAGAGGAAGCTGATGCTTGAACTCCGCACTACCTGTTTTCATGTATACCACCCTGCTTATCGCAGTGGTGTTTCCACTCAGCCCTGCTGAGCCACGCACGAGGCAGGCCCGGAATGGCTGAGACTGGGTAAGTTCTTCTCCGAGCGATTAAACCTGGTCAGAACCGTGTCTTCAACGACCAACCCCTGCAAATCCCCCGAGCCACGGCAAACACTGCAGCAGCTGCAAGATACAGCACCCCCGCGAAGATGATGAGCCCACCATACTGCCCATGATCGTGCTGGATGATCGCACCCGCGATTGGAATCCCCGTGAGCACTCCAAGACTGGCGATGGTATACGTCGTGCCAGTTCGCGCTCCATACTCCTCCGTTGCACAGATCTGCGAGATACAGACCGGGGACAAACTCATAGCAGCTCCGCTCCAGAAGCCAAACAATACGGCATAGCAGACAATGGCGCCTAAGCTACTACCAGCCTTGTACCACAATGCAAGCGTCAATATCGAGCATACGAGGGAGGTGACGACCATCATATTGAACCTTCCCAATCGATCAGCAGCTAGGCCTGGTAGCAGACGGCCAGGGATCAGTCCGATGTTCAGGAAGATAAGCAACAGGTATGACACTGTGTTGCTCAAGCCGACGTGGACTGCATATGAAGACAGGTATGTGTTTGGCACAAACACAGCGAAATCAGCCAGAAAGATTGCGAGTGTGGTGACGGCGTACTTGGGATCTTTCAGTGCTCTGAAATCTGCCAGCGCACTGCCTCCGGTTTCTTTGCCGAGGGGTAACCGGGTCTTAATCAAGAGGCAAGCGATAGCACAAAGTACAAGGCTCAAGAGTGCAATAATCCGAATCGACCAGCCAAATCCGATCTTTGGCGCGTTGAAGTAAATGATTGCAGGGAAAATCACACCTCCGAGCCCGCCTGCTGTGCAAGCAAGTCCAGTGACAAACGCTCGACGGACATTGAACCAATGGCCGATTGCTGCAACAGCTGGAGTGAACAGAGCACTTGCCGATATTCCTCCCAAGACGCTGAAGGAGAGAAATATCTGATAGTATTCTGCACATTGTCAATGCGGTGCCGATGCTCCTAGCCTATATGAAACATTACCTTTACTGACACTAAAGCATACCAACGACACTACCATGCCGATGGACCCTGGGATAATGATGTAGGTTGGTCCCCATGTATCCAAGATTGGCCCTATAATATTCAATGAAGTTGTTAGCCTGCCACCCCTCAAGGCTTGACTTGGATGAATACGGACCACTTTGGGCTCCTGCAAAGTAAAGGAAGAATCCATATGCACCATATATCCAGCCATAGCTCGACTCTGGGTAGTCTCTGAGCTGATGGGTACTGGTCCAGATATGGATTGTTCCTGCGGTGTTCATCAAGCCCAAGGCTGGGACCATGGCGCACCATGCGCCGAAGACCACCAGCCATGCTTGCAGACCTCCCTCTGGGTAGTATATACTATCATCTTCTTGCTCGGTAGTTTCCTCGGAAAATGTAGAGTAGACCGACAACTCTGTATCCATCTTCTTATCCCGATGGAGCTGCACATTTAGATCACATTGAGTTCCTACGGATTCGAGCCCTCCGGACAATGGCCGCTTAAGAAGCACGCCCGCATCTGAGGCGGTGATTGCTTTGCTGGCATAGGAAATATTGACGCCAATCAATGCAAGGGCTACATGCACGCATTAACTGGCCGACAGCATTTGATAAGGCCAAGGATCTTCGGAGCATAACGAAATGAGTCTGGCTGGCCTGAGTGGCGCCTGGAATTGTCTCCATCCTGCTGTGCTATTGAAGCACTATACAGACGCTCTTCCAGCTACATACTCCGTCCAGCTCGGTGATTATGACTCAACACCGGGCATGGTCGTAGATATATATACATTCGGAGTCCAAAATTCCTTTACATATTAGCATCGATTTCATGCAGCTGGCCATTGCTCCGAAGACAGTCTCTGGACTGGCTTGTCGAGTGATCATCAAACTGGCGAATCCATCCAGTTAACGGCTAACTACATCTGGTTAGTGTACCGGCCCGAGGATGTTCCATGGCGGGATGTGCTTACATAATGGCGGGCGGATTGAGGCGCGATTGGCGATGGATTGATTTCTGCAGCGGAGAAATTGCGAAGCTCACCTGGTTCTTTCGCATCGCAATTAATCTTGATCACCATGGGTAAGCGCGGAAAGAAGGTATGTGAGACGATCTATGTCTAAAGGATCATTTCTATCTCGTCAATTTTGCATTTGCTTTCCATCGTGGGCGGAGACTAACTTCATTATCTCGGCAGGGCGGCGGCGGTCGCGAACGCCAAAACTGGCAGCAAGTCGCCAGGGAAAATGCCAAGTTCGAAAGCTACTACAACGAACAGGGATTTATCCCCGAAGAGGAGAGGGAGGCCTTCTGGGAGGCCATTAGGAGAGATCTCCCGAACAGCTTCCGTTTCACTGGGTCACGAGGGTACGTCATTTTCCTTGCGCTGGACGATGAGCGCTCTTGCGATTGGATCCAATGCAACTAACATTTGCTTCAAGCCATGCGTTAGCTGTCCAGGAGAAACTCAAGAACTTCTACATCCCCGAAATCACTTCGATCAAGTATGAGGGCAAAGATGTCGAGCCTCCTCGTCCCGTTCCCTGGTATCCCGACCAACTCGCCTGGTCCATGACCACCCCCAAGCAGGTTGTTCGCCGCTTCGCCCCCTTCGCTTCGTTCCAGAAATTCCTCGTCGCCGAGACCGAAGTCGGCAACATCAGCAGACAGGAGGTGGTTAGCATGATTCCCCCTCTTCTGCTTGACGTTAAGCCCGGCATGACCGTTCTGGATATGTGCGCTGCCCCTGGTAGCAAGTCCGCACAGCTCATGGAGATGATCCACGCCGGCGAGGAGGAATCCATGCAACAAGTGACCGCGAAGGTGGCTGAGGGAACTGCTTCCGCCGAACCTATGGGACCGGAAGGTCTAGGTGACGACGGCAGAACCACCGGCTTGCTGATCGCCAACGACGCCGACTACAAGCGCGCCCACATGCTGATCCACCAGATGAAGCGACTGAGCTCTCCTAACTTGATTGTGACGAATCACGATGCCACAATGTTCCCTTCGATCAGATTGCCTCCGGAGCCCGCTCCGGAAGGAAAGCCCGTTAAGAACAAATACCTCAAGTTTGACCGTATCCTGGCTGATGTGCCTTGCACCGGTGATGGAACGGCGAGAAAGAACTGGGGTGTCTGGAAGGACTGGAACTACAACAACGCTTTGGGATTGTACGCCACTCAGGTTCGGATCCTTGTCCGCGCTCTGCAGATGCTGAAGGTCGGTGGCCGTGTGGTCTACTCCACCTGCAGTATGAACCCTATCGAAAACGAGGCCGTCATTGCCAGCGCTTTGGAGCGCTGCGGCTCTGCCAATGTCCGCATCCTCGACTGCAGCAATGAGCTTCCCGGACTGAAGAGAGCCCCTGGCTTGAAGACATGGAAGGTCATGGACCGTGAGGGTCGCATGTACAACAGCTGGAAGGAGGTTGAAGAGCGCAAGGAGCGCGAGGGAATCAGCGGCCTTGGCCGGGTTGCCGAGGGCATGTTCCCCCCCACCGAGGATCTGCCCCTCGACAGGTGTCTCCGTATCTACCCCCACATGCAAGACACTGGCGGCTTCTTCATTACCGTTCTGGAGAAGGTGTCTGAGATCCGTGCCAAGCCCGAGGACTCCTCCAAGGTCATCCCTAAGGCTTCCATTGCTGCCCTTACGGAAGAGCTTGACTTCAAGCAGAAGAATGGAGACGGTCAGCCTTTGGAAAAGATCAGCGCGTTGGACGACTTGGTTGCTCCTGACCAGGAGGCTGAGAAGGAAGCCGAAAAGAATGCATCCGTTGCGCAGGCTACCCATCAGATCCCCTACTCTGCTACTGACCAGATCTCTCCCGCTAAGAGGGATGCAGACAGCCTGGAAGACGAGCTTCCGGCGAAGAGGACGAAGCTCGAAGATGGCTTCGAAGTTGTCTTGGGAGACCGCCCTATTCATGCTCCTGCGCCCGTCGTGGAGTCCGATAACATGGAGACTTCTGACGCGACTCCTGCGCCTGCTGAGTCCGCGAAACCCGCCCCCGCAGAGGCTCAGCCGCAGGCTGCTCCCCAGAAGCGCAAGAACGGTCAGCCAATCGAGGAGCCCTTCAAGTATCTGGACCCCAACCAGGAAGAGCTCGACCCGATCTACAAGTTCTACGAGATCTCTGATCGTTTCCCTCGGGACCGCTTCATGGTGCGCAACGCCGAGGCGATCCCGGCTCGCACTATCTACTACACCAGCTCTCTGGCCCGCGACATCTTGACCGCAAATGAGAAGCAAGGCATGAAGTTCGTGCACTGTGGTGTCAAGATGTTCGTGCGCCAAGATGTGCAGCGTCCTGAGGTCTGCCGGTGGCGCATCCAGACCGATGGACTGAGGATTCTCAACCCTTGGCTGGGTCCTGCTAGAGCCGTCACCCTGACTAAGAAGGAGACTCTGCACAGACTTCTCGTGGAGATGTTCCCCAAGGTCGACGGTGATAGCTGGACGGAGCTTGGAGAGATTGGCGAGCGTGTCAGAGACATCCCCATGGGCTGCAGTATCCTGCACATCAAGCCGGATGCCGACGAGACCTTCCAGTAAGTGACTTACTTCCTAATATCGTAAAATGCTGCAGACAGGCTAACAATATACTAGTGAGCGGATGACCCTCCCTCTTTGGCGGTCCCTGCACTCCGTCAACCTCATGCTTCCCAAGGAGGACCGTCGCGCCATGCTTCAGCGTCTCTTCAACGATGACACTCCCTTGGTTAACACCACACAGAAGCGAGAGGCCCAGTCGTCGACGCCGATCACTCCTGCCACTGAGGCCGTCGACGGAGAGGAGACCCCGGTCACTGCTCCCGCCGAGACTGAAGAAGAGGTAATCAAGCGTGAGAATCTGCAGCTTGGCGAGGATGAGCAGGAACAGATGGACACGCGCGAGACGTATTCAAAGGCTGGTGACGAGGAGGATCGCTTTAACACGACTGTATAATTTTAGGAGTTTGTTTGCATATACGGCAGTTATTTCAATGAAAAGCATTGGCTATTTGGAGTATATTTTGGCATACTACAGTTTCTCTTTTGCTTCCAAGGGCACAGCGACTTCCAGATGAAAGACCCTACAAAAATAGAAATAAGATTGGCAGTACAAAAGCTACATTGGCAAGAGTAAGGTCTTAGTGTCTAACTAACACCTTATTTATGTTCCCCGATGGTGCTGGACTCCCTCAGTTATCACTGCTTACCTGAAGGACAGTACGACCAGCCAGCTGGCCCTTGGCCATCTTGTCGACCCATGAGTCCAAGTCCTCCAATTTACCCTTGGTCAGAACAGGCTATCCACAGTCAGCATAATGGACTCTAGACAAAAGACCACAACAATACTCACATGAACGATGCCTCTTGCAGTAAATTCAAGCGCCTCCTGCGTGTCCTGCAGAGTACCAGTTATGGACCCCACGATGTTCAGCTTCTTGAGTGCTATCATCAACGGGGGAGCACCAGCCAAGATAGTAGGGTCGTTGGGCAACCCAATAGCCACCATCGTGCCATTTGGCCGAAGATAGCCCGGTGCCGCCGCATAAACAGCCTTCGTGGCCGCCGTCACAATAATGCCATGAGCACCATACTTGGTGACCTTCATGACCTCGGCGGCCACATCTGGAGTCTGCTGGAAATCAATGAACACCTCTGCCCCAAGCCGCTGGCACAGCTCGCGCTTCTCCTCCCCACTATCAATAGCAATGATCCTCATGCCCATGGCTCGCGCAAACTGAATAGCCAAGTGACCGAGCCCACCACCAGCACCGGGAAGGACAATCCACTGGCCAGCCTTGACATTCGACCTGAAACATCATTTCATCAGCTCAAGCCCTTCCCCACACCCGACTCCTCAACAAAGGGAAATAATACTAACCTCTTACAAGCCACATAAACCGTCAACCCGCCACACATCATCGGCCCGGCCTCCTCATCACTCACCCCATCCGGAATCCTCGACGCATACCGTCCATCGGCAAGACAATATTCCTGAAACGTGCCGGGCATGGTAAACCCACTATTCTTCTGATTGATACAATTCACCTCGTCCGTCCCCGTCAAACAGAAGTCACACTCCCCACACACGCTCGCAATCCACTTGATCCCCGCTCGGTCACCGATCTTCCATCGCGTCTCCATCCCCTCGCCCACAGCTACCACTCTCCCGACCCCTTCGTGGCCGGCGATCCCCTTGGCCTCGGGCTGCATACTTACCCCGAATGCTGCCCAGTCGTCGTGCAGGAGGCCCTTGTCGGAGCCGCAGAGACCCGTCCAGGTGATTTTCACGAGGATTTGGCCTGGGCCGGGTCTCTCAACCGGGATGGTTTCGATGGTGGTTGTGGAGGTCGGGCCGGTGCCTTGCCGGATGGCGGCACGTTGGTGGGTGGGGAGGTCGGTGGTGGGTTCGGTGATGGTCATGGTGAGTTAGTCGCGTTGATGTAGTTGAGGGTGTATTCTTCTGATTGAGTGGGTATCGGCCAGGTGGAATGGGATGTTATACGAGCGCGTAACACACGATAGGTGGTAGAAGTAAGGGGTAGAGGGCTTCTTTTCTCAGGAGAAAAGATGACAGAAGAAGAGGAGGAGTAGATGGATAGATGGGGAGGGGTACCTTGGCTCTAAAATGGATGCATGGATGCATGGATACTCTCTTTATAGCTGCTATGCAACTCCTCTTTTCTTAACTGATACCCCCTCTTTCTCTCCCCGCATGCTCCACGTGATGGTTCATTCCCTGTGCGTATATATGCTTTGGAACTATGTTTCCTACATACTGATTTACATGGGATATTTGCTTCTGCATCTAGTCCTAGCTGCGTAGTACTGCTGTTTAGGTGTTTCAGCTGTGACGGCACTGATGCACGATCATGCATAGTCAAGTTCTAAGTTACTATAAGTATCTCCAGGATCTGCTATTTTCTACGCCATTTCCCTTGTTAGAGATTGATGACCGAATTTTGTCTAGTAAATAATTATATAGTTCTAGGCTGTTGGGCAGTTGCTGAACCAGTGTCAAGAAGATGCTGGAAACAGGTGAGAGTTGAACGAAGTGGACTGTTACACAGCCCCGCCAGCCTGTTCATTACTGAGTATGTGCTCTTTAGTTATCTTGACCCTTGCAGATCTACATCATAGTAACATGCCATATAGATTGATACTGCAGTTCCCCGCTCCTAGTCTTTTACATTATTCGTCACTTTCTGTTTGCTTCGAACCTTCTCTCCCTCCTCCTATTTTAATAGAGAATCCTGCAGAAATCGTGAGTTAATGTCCCAAGAGGGTCTCTTGCAGTACAGTATGCTGCTAAGTATCTTAGCTACTGTAGAGGGTGATGATATGTAATGCAAAACGAACTCTATTATAAAGTGCACATATGTAGTAGATCAGAAGAATAAACTTCTCGCCATCCTTCACAACTGAAACTTCCCGAACTCTAGTATGCTAGTCATGCACACTAAGAGCTAGTTCTCCGCAGCGACCATCATATGATTCCAATTTGCTTTTTACAAAGCCCGTTGGTTCGAGTCTAGGGATTTGGTCTTATCAAGCCCCTCACTTTATTGTCCAATTGCCTTATGGAGAGGCAATATTAGCTATCGTTTCACGGCTGCGAGTGCGGGGTATAGTTACATCCGTAATGCGGGTTAGCGTGTTAGCATCAGCTCTGTTACTCCTAATCGGATTTGCGAAAGAGGGCATGCCTTGCCACTATGGTCGTCCTTGATTTGGGAGCTGCAGGTGTACGCTAATAGGTAAATGGTGGGCCATGGCCCGGTAAGCTGCATGCATAGCGTCGGTCTTCGGTGCACCCGAAGTTTAGCCGTATGAGTGGTCTGTTGCTCATTTGTTTGATGCCTCGGGACAATGGATGGCGAGCCGAGGCATTCTGTTGACTTAGTCAGATCATGCCTGCGTTGTGCGGTCATGCAGGTAGTGCGGGCATCCGCTTTGTGGGATTTATGGATCTCATTTGAACTTCAGTTCCTGGTTTATCTGTCGCTTTTTAGCATAGCATCTGGTTACATAGCACCAGACGACCAAGGTACCCGATCTTATATAGTGAATCAAGATTATGGATTTAAGCTTATCGGTAGCTCTATTCTAAGGTTTCTGAGAGTGGAGCTGACGCAATCTACGGCTCGTAGTAGATAGGCTGTGAGAAAGAATACCGGTCAAGTACCTCGCATTTGAGTACCTTGGGTACCTGGCGTAGCACGTGTTTGGAAGGCAGGATATTCCCGGAACTCACTGATGCAGGACAGCTTAGTGTCTAATTTGTGCAATGAAGCAACGGTGTCAGTTGTGAGAGCAGCACTGGATAGGCTCACATCCAGAGCTGCTTGATTCCGGAATAGTGTAGTTGTGGTCATAGATGAGGGCAGGGTAGGGGTATGGTTGATCTAAACGTTTAGTTTCCAGGGTACTCTGCTGTCCCACTACTCAGGATGAGCATCGTTCAATGACTCAAAGCCCACTTTCTCTGGTCGAAACTATCGTCAGGCAAAACACTACTGTTGTACTGAAAAGCAAATAATTTTGACATGAGCGTCCGCTCTCATGGGAGGTGCCCTCACACAGTGGATCAAGCTGAAGAGTGGGAGGTTAGCTGCTTTCAATAATATGTTGATGGGTGTTGACTTTTTACGGGTTCTGGTGATCTAGACTATTCCACTGACGCTTCCTTCTTTGAGGATGTCAAGCTCGGGTTGAATACTATGATGTCAAGGCTAAAAGATTCATGCTTCGTAGAGCATCACGCTTGAAGATTGGATGGAACTGTAGTAGAATCTGGCTTAGAAATCTAGGGGTTAAGGCATCGCGATGGCATGTAGAATGGCCTTGCAGTCATTTGCTGCTTGACAGGCAGTACTATGGCATTGGCCCGAGACTGAGTTTCTATTAGGAGAATGAGCCGCCTGGAGCCTCTCACCTGGTGAACCAATATCCGCTTGACTAGGCCACAATCCAACTCTCAAGTCATCCGGTGGCTGCTGTGGAATTTTATTGTTTGCGGAGCTCAGACAGTTGTAGAGGTCGGTATATCCAGGAAGCAAGCCAATTAACCGGAAGTTTGAAAGGACGAGCACATAGTCCTCAAAGATGGGGCTCATTTAGTAGGCCGAACATTCCTCTTGTTTGGAGCGACTCCGGGCGATAGTCGGAGATATTTACGCAGACACGCAAAAGCATGCATCGCTGGTTGGTCTGGACTGCCGGGTAAATTTAATTAGGTTCAGACAGGTAGAAAGTCTGTTGTTTGCTTGAAGTTGCGTGCCTTGCCACTCTACCTTTGGGGTGCGCACGTCCTCGGATGCAGATGTATACGAAAGTTGTTCCTCCAGTCACATCTGGTGGCATGATTCCGGTTGGCAGGCGGCGAAGGATTCCGTCATATAGCTAGTGGGAGGATGACTGACTAGACTTTCAGACAAGTCAGTGACTGCAATACCACGGACAAGAAATCAAGATTTCTCCGGTGGCACCCCGCAGGTCAGCCATCCGGAAGCTTAGGCTGATTGGGCTTCGGCTCCAGGGTCCTCCCGCGGTGGGCACCACGAAAGAGAAAACACACAACTATGGGAAAGCCAGCTGACAGCTGATCGTCAGGAGGGATGGAGCATGTCTTTAAGTGTTCCTGCATGAAGATAGTCACTGTCCCTTGAAAGACCAGCAGATAGAGGAGGGATAGATGGGCAAGTTGCAGACGAGAGGAGGGGAGCGGGAGAGGAGTAAAGAAGCAATTAGCCGGCGCGGGAGAGCCGATGCGGAGAAACTAGGCCAGACTAACCGGATGAGGCGCCGTCCCTGTGGAGGATCGTCATTCCAGTTGCCTGCTTCCCTTCGCAATCTCACTGTGTCCTGCGAGCGTGCTTGGGCATCGTGGCCCTTTTCAGACCCTGTACGCTGCGCTATGTGCAACTAAAACCATGCTAGACACTCGAGACCACCCATTGATCCTGCAGGGCCCACTTCCCCTCCTTCCACGATGATGTCGATGTTGCGAGGACCAGACTCGTGGCTCGGCTAGTATGTCAACAGCTTCGTACATTATTCAGCGTCGGGAGGGACATTGAGGGGGTGGAATGAGACAAATAAAGTGGCTCATCTCCCCGGTGCCGGCTGGCATGATGCTTCCCTGAACTCTCGCGGAATTTGACAATCACTCGTGCCTTCGACCCATTGGCGTTTACGTTCGCCCCGGGTGTGTTGCATCATGAAGCTTTCCTCCGCTTGTGCTATTGCCTTGCTGGCGGCACAGGCTGCTGGGGCGTCCATTAAGCATCGAATCAATGGCTTTACCCTTACGGAGCATTCTGACCCGGCCAAGCGGGAACTGTTGCAGAAATACGTATGTACGTCCATGGATGGCAGCACTTCTAGCAAACTGACATAGTGCCTACTAGGTCACTTGGGATGACAAGTCCCTTTTTATCAATGGCGAAAGGATCATGATCTTCAGTGGCGAATTTCATCCATTCCGGTACTACAGCCCTTCCTTCTTCTATCTATACTGAGGTTGACTCGGGATTTTTTTTTGATTGCTCTAGTCTACCTGTAAAAGAACTTCAGCTTGACATCTTCCAGAAGGTCAAAGCTCTAGGGTTTAACTGTGTGTCTTTCTACGTCGATTGGGCCCTCGTTGAAGGAAAACCGGGGGAATACAGGGCAGACGGCATCTTTGATTTGGAGCCGTTCTTCGACGCGGCTTCGGAAGCAGGTATCTACCTGCTTGCCCGTCCAGGCCCGTACATCAACGCAGAGAGTTCCGGCGGTGGATTTCCGGGGTGGTTGCAGAGAGTCAATGGTACTCTTCGCTCAAGCGACAAGGCTTACCTGGATGCTACAGATAAGTATGGTGAAACTCGCCCGGGAGGCCTATGGCGCCTGCTGACTTTTCCACAGTTACGTCTCTCACGTCGCTGCAACAATTGCCAAGTACCAGATTACCAATGGCGGTCCGATCATCCTGTATCAGCCCGAAAATGAGTACACTAGTGGCTGCTGCGGTGTTGAATTCCCCGATCCAGTGTACATGCAGTATGTTGAAGACCAGGCTCGTAACGCCGGTGTCGTCATTCCATTGATCAATAACGATGCCTCGGCTTCCGGGAACAATGCTCCTGGAACCGGGAAGGGAGCAGTCGATATTTACGGCCATGATAGCTACCCGTAAGTTCAGCATGCCCTTGACTTTGAACACTGGCTGACAATCATAGGCTTGGGTTCGACTGCGTATGTTTATTCTTGAGTCTCGGTGTGCTTGTAGCTAATTTGTCTAGGCGAACCCTACGGTATGGCCCTCGGGTGACCTACCTACCAATTTCCGTACCCTTCATCTTGAGCAAAGCCCGACCACACCATATGCGATAGTCGAGGTCAGTATATACGTACTCTAGTCAGCATTTTGGGGCTAACACCTCGCAGTTCCAAGGCGGTTCGTACGACCCTTGGGGAGGACCGGGATTCGCTGCGTGCTCCGAACTCCTGAACAATGAGTTCGAGAGAGTGTTCTATAAGAACGACTTTAGCTTCCAGATTGCCATTATGAACCTCTACATGGTACGTGCATTGGATTTTTACGCTGGATTGCAGCTAATATGTGTAGATCTTTGGTGGAACTAACTGGGGTAACCTCGGTTATCCTAATGGATACACCTCCTACGACTATGGTTCGGCTGTGACAGAATCTCGCAACATCACCCGCGAGAAATACAGTGAACTCAAGCTACTTGGCAACTTTGCCAAAGTATCTCCGGGCTATTTGACGGCTAGTCCTGGCAATTTGACAACTTCCGGTTACGCTGATACCACAGACCTGACTGTAACGCCTTTGCTCGGAAACAGCACTGGCTCTTTCTTCGTGGTCAGACATTCGGACTACAGCAGCGAAGAGTCAACATCATACAAGCTTCGTCTTCCTACCAGTGCCGGTAGCGTGACTATCCCTCAGCTTGGTGGTACACTCACACTTAATGGACGCGATTCAAAGATACACGTGACCGACTACAATGTCTCTGGAACCAATATCATCTACTCCACGGCCGAGGTCTTTACCTGGAAGAAGTTCGCCGACGGAAAGGTCCTCGTGCTCTACGGAGGTGCTGGTGAGCACCACGAACTTGCCATTTCAACCAAGTCGAATGTCACGGTGATTGAAGGATCCGAGTCTGGCATCTCGTCAAAGCAGACCTCTTCGTCAGTTGTGGTCGGCTGGGATGTGTCGACCACTCGTCGTATCATCCAAGTTGGGGACCTGAAAATTCTCCTTCTTGGTAGGTCCATCCAACTGCCCGAGTTACATCAAGCTGACTAGTAACAGACAGGAACTCTGCCTATAACTACTGGGTGCCTCAACTTGCCACAGACGGCACTTCACCAGGTTTTAGCACCCCAGAGAAGGTCGCATCATCCATCATCGTCAAAGCGGGCTACCTTGTTCGGACTGCGTACCTGAAGGGCAGCGGTCTTTACCTCACCGCAGACTTCAACGCTACCACTTCCGTTGAAGTCATTGGCGTCCCCTCCACTGCTAAGAATCTGTTCATCAATGGAGATAAGACATCGCACACCGTCGACAAGAACGGCATCTGGTCAGCTACAGTCGACTACAATGCCCCTGATATCTCGCTTCCCAGCCTGAAGGACTTGGACTGGAAGTACGTGGACACTCTTCCGGAGATCCAGTCCTCCTACGATGATTCTCTCTGGCCCGCCGCAGACCTCAAGCAGACCAAGAATACGCTTCGTTCTCTGACGACCCCTACCTCTCTGTACTCATCCGATTACGGCTTCCACACCGGATACCTGCTTTACCGCGGACACTTCACCGCCACGGGCAACGAGAGCACCTTTGCTATCGATACGCAAGGTGGATCAGCATTTGGAAGCTCTGTCTGGCTGAACGGAACATACCTCGGTTCCTGGACTGGCCTTTATGCCAACTCCGACTACAATGCCACTTACAATCTGCCTCAGCTCCAGGCAGGCAAGACGTATGTGATCACCGTTGTGATCGACAACATGGGCCTTGAGGAGAACTGGACTGTTGGTGAGGACCTAATGAAGACCCCGCGTGGTATTCTCAACTTCCTGCTTGCCGGACGGCCAAGCAGCGCAATTAGCTGGAAGTTGACCGGAAACCTTGGCGGCGAGGACTACGAAGACAAGGTCCGAGGTCCTCTGAACGAGGGTGGTCTCTACGCTGAGCGCCAAGGATTTCACCAGCCCGAGCCTCCCAGCCAGAACTGGAAGTCTTCCAGCCCTCTGGAGGGTCTCTCTGAGGCAGGCATTGGTTTCTACAGCGCCAGTTTTGACCTTGACCTGCCGAAGGGATGGGATGTCCCACTGTTCCTCAACATCGGTAACAGCACTACGCCATCCCCGTACCGCGTGCAGGTCTACGTCAACGGATATCAGTATGCGAAATACATAAGCAACATCGGACCTCAGACCAGCTTCCCTGTCCCCGAGGGAATCCTGAACTATCGCGGAACGAACTGGTTGGCGGTGACCCTGTGGGCTCTCGACTCTGCCGGCGGCAAGTTGGAAAGCTTGGAGTTGAGTTACACCACTCCAGTGCTGACTGCCCTTGGGGAGGTCGAGTCGGTTGACCAGCCCAAGTACAAGAAGCGGAAGGGTGCATACTAGGTTCTGTAAATAGCACATTCTATCTAGTTCGGTTTTATCATAGGTTAGCCACATAGCCTCTCGTCGGCTTGGTCAAATGTCCGGAGGAGCTTAGAAGTTAATCATATTGAGATGCTACATGAAATGACAATTTCTGAGTAACACTGAGGTGTGGCCGAAAAGAAAGTAGTCTCAACAGCCCGAGCAGCATTGGGATATTAATTGTGAAATTATGGGGCGGGTAGGAATATAAGAAAAAAAAAAAAGAGAGAAAAGAAAAAAGGAAAGTGCATCATCCGTGAATCGAACACGGGCCTCATCGATGGCAACGATGAATTCTACCACTAGACCAATGATGCTAGTTGATATGAAGAGTTTCATAATTTTGCTTTATCAACCAAGCTAACTTCATTGATGCCTGCATGAGCAAGACACAGACGAAATATCTCATTCATAGCGCATGATTGTGTTGTTGACAAACCCAGTCTTCGTCGCAGGCCAAATCTTGGCATGCAGCCCGTAATTGTCAAGGGATACACAACTATTGACATATGTTTTTCGTTTGGCTTTGCTGATATGTCGATAAATTGTTCATTGTCATCGAAATATATATGTTCACTGCGACACTTTGTCGATACTGGTAGTACTAGTACTACACTGTGATCCATACTAACGTGGAATATGGTAGAACTACACGGCAGCAGCCGCCTGAAGGGAGCTTGAACATGAGATAAAAAATGCATTTATGAGCAACACAACCCCCTAAACTCTTCATCCTGATCCAAATAAGCCCACAACGGCCCACTCAATGTGTAGTTCACATAAACAGCACAGGGGCCTTTACTCGATGCACTTGTGTCTATGGCCCGGTATAACTGCTCTTCAGAAGCCATAACCATAGCCAAGCCATCCACCCGGGAGACATCCGTGAACGGTCGAGAAACAGTGATCGGCGGGATGGCATTTCCATGTTGATCGACATCAAAGTCGGTTCCTACGTACATGTCAAATTTGGACCACTGGGACGTGGTAAAGCTGCCGTCAAAATCGAAGTTCATCCTGATTCGACTCGTGTCTGGCTGCAATGCGAGCCATTGTGTATTCAGTTTCATTTGCTCGGGTGTTATACCATGTGACATGTCATGGAAGGCCTTTGCTATCTTCCAGAGGGGGCCGTAGGCCAGTGTCTCGGGCTGGAGGTACATGTATGCGCCGTATATGGAGTTAGGGAAATATCGAGGGGGGAGGTTGAGACGGGTTGGTCCACGCATGTTGATGGATGAGAAGATCCCGGTAGAGAGCTGGTCGAATGCCGCGGAATCTGGTATTCCTTGTGATGTGAGATGACGGAGCCGGGCGCGATAGGTGAGTTGATATAGGTAGGCGACTAGGGCGTCATTGGTTGATACCCAGTCCTGCCAATTGGGATCTGTTGCTCGCAATTTGAGTTCCTGGAGCTTCTGGCTGGAGAATCGTAGCACGCGGCCGAGGACTGGGGGTGAGACTGGTTTGTCCGTTGAAGTGAGGGTCTCAGTATTCGACTTTGTGCCGGAATTTTTGACTAGGTAATATGCTGATGGGTTGTACTTGAGTGCAGCTTGGCGCTCTTCCGATGTCATGGAGTCCGAATCTCGAAGGTAGGAGCGGATTTCTGGTGCTGAAGAAAGGAGTGGTATCCCTGCATCCTTCTCACATCCTTCTGCAGGCCTGAGAGCACGGTACAGCTGAGCCAGATCGCGAACAAATTGGAAAAACCCACAGGCATCACAGACAATATGATGTATACGGAAACCCAGGGCGACACTTCCACAGGCGAAGCGAGTGTGCTGTATGGCCAAGATCGGATCTCGACATACCCCCTCTATTGTTGAGTCGAAGGGCGGCAGTAGAGCATTGCCAGAATCCGGCAAATCAGTCAGAAGGATACGGCTTGATTTGCTCTCGATATCATCTAGTCGTAGGCTACAGTGTGCCTCGAGAAGCTCTGCTCCCCTACCAAGATTAACGATCTCGGGGCGATGGCTCTTGGGATCGAAGTGCAAACGGCCTGTTAAATGTGGGTAGTAATCCAACACAAGGGCCAGCGCTCTTCGAAGGCGCCGAACTTCAAGCAGAGAAATATGATCTCTGTTCGCATCTGATATGGGCTTCTTGTAAACAAAGACAGCATCCACAGGCACAAAAGGGAGAACCATATGATCTAGGGGTCCTAGTTTAACTGGAGACTCCAGTGCGGAAATAGCTGTTTTACTTGCACATTGCAGTGGATATCGTGCAATGACTGTGACTTGGTCTGCAGATATAGTCGTTGACATGACTGGGGTTTGGCTCTAAGCTTAAAACAACGTGGTTTGGGTTGGGCTTTCATAGAACGAATGAAAATTTATCAGCAGCAAACTGACCCTTGAAAGCAGAATAGATCAATTTATACGGAAAACAGAAGTATAGTGGCCAATAAGCACTGACTTGTACTGTAGAGACACTAGAATATGCATGCATCGATAGTTGAGTCAGTTCATGGTTCGGACGAAAGAGGCTCGGACGGACTTCCTCGCCACGCTTTCTCCAGCCGCAAATCCGACCGAACTTTACTCCGACCTCATCTTCGTCCGAACAGAGTGGGTCAGTCCAACCAGCCGTTGAAGCTCTGCATAGTCAAAGCGCCCCTGATGATTCAGAATCGGCAAATGAGAAAAGGGACGCGCAGCTGTACTGCATGTGAGTATTGAATATTTCTCCGCTTGTCGCTGTGCCTCTGACATTGACCCTGGCGGGCTGCAGGTCGTCGCCGGAAAGTTCGCTGCATCTTTCCGTCCGAAGAATCTGACGTGTGCTCCAATTGTGCCAGGCGAGGGTCTATATGTGTTCCGCAAGGTGTATCACTAGATTTGGGCCCTGGATTTGATGATAGAGCACGTCTACGTCGCCGAGCCAAGTCGCGACACCTAAATAACCAGTCCGTGCCGCAAGCCACACCCGACGGGGAGACCATCAGTGGCTCGGACCGGTTCAGTGACGTCCTGGGGGCTCTGAAAAATCTAGAGAAAAAGGTCCATGTATCACTAGGATTGAGTCGTAACCATGCTCCAGCCCGAGGTGTCGTTGGGACATCACGTGAGGTCGACTCAATACAGAGTGATCGTGCCCCGATCATGAAGCTTTTGAACCATGAATTGGTAGGATGAATCAGCATACTGCGACTGGAATGTTTGCTGAGATAAACAGATCGGTCGAGTTTCCGAGCCTGAGCAAGAGGCATCTCAACAAGTACCAAGTCAAGAATCTAAGCGCAACAAAACCCGCCTCTCCAACCTGCCCACTGAACATGCTGAAGCGCTCAAAGGCCTACTTGAGGCATTACCAACAGAGCCAGAGATGAGCAGAATATTCCAGACTAAAAGTGACTGGTGGAACTCCTGGCGCGAATCCTTCGGGCTAAGCTGGGGCGATGAAGACGATTTCAGCCTTGAGGCGTTCGCTATTCGGACTTTCCAGACCGGTCATCCCGCTCTAGTCGGAAGCCTCCTACTCTGCTTTGCTCTCAGCACGGGCGATTTTGCAAGATACCTTCCTCCAGTAGAACATTGGATCCTGAATAACGATGAAGTTGCTAGCAGTACATATGGCCTGCAGTGCTTGATAGGCCTAGGACTCTGCTTCATGAGCTCCTTACAACCTCGTCGTGCCTGGGCTACATATCGTAAGGCTAATACGCTTTTGCAACTTGCAGGAATCCATCGGACTCACCGGAAGTCCAAGAGTCTGAATACAATTTTCTGGCAGTTGTTTTCGGCCGACCGATGGGTTAGTCTGCTGATTGGACTGCCATATTCAGTGCCCGAAAATCTCTGTGATCTTTATATTCCTCCACCAGATGAGGAGTTGTTCGTCAACTTTCACTACCGACACCTATCTATTTTGACTGGCCGGGTCATTGATTGTCTGCAGTCTGAGAAAAGCCCTACTTTATCCATGGTTACGGGAGTTGATGAGCAAATCGACGAAATTACGGCACATTTACCAGTCGGATATCTGGATCTGGGGCAGATTAGACTATGTCGAGATGCCAAAGAGAGACATACTCGGGCCTTCCGCCTGGCTCACGTTCACAGCCTGAAGGCACAACTATACATGCCGTTATTCTTGCAGGGGTCCCATGACGATAGGCAAGAGTATAGTCGGATGGCTTGTGTGAGGAGCGCAAGGACTCTTCTAGAAGCGTACCTTCTCCTGCATGAGAGTGACCCTGCTGCGGCACGCTCAGATAATAGCATCAAACAGTCGGCACCGAGTGCGCTGACAGCAGCGGTGATTGTCTTCCTGAATATGCTCGGCTATGGGAGGAATACTGCCGCAGATGCAGTACAAGAGAGAGCTACCAATAAAAATCATGATGATGGGTTGATCAAACGGATCCTGATCGCGCTGGACAGCTGGTCGGAGAATCAACCAGGTTCATTGTCTGGCCAGTGCCATGCTACACTCAAAAACCTCGTGGAAAGCAGTCAAGAATTGCACAAAGGAGAGCGTCGCGAGATTGTCGTGCCGTACTTTGGCAGGGTGACTGTCGACCGCGGAGAGGGCGCTTCGCAGCCTGCCGATTCTAGGCTAGATACTTCACGTGGAGCAGCCCCTATGTTGGAATCGAATGTCGATAACGTCGCTACTTGGTCTGCCCTGTCCGATGATATTTTCCTTTCGTATTCCGGTCCATGGACAGCGCAAGACGATTATGCAGGGGGGCTTTTAGACAATACCGATGCAGCAGCAGCAGCTTTCGATTGGATAACTGGGCCTGAGTACGGCTTTAGCCTATGCTAAATAACTCGGAGAGATTTTCCACTGCTAACCCGGAGACTTTCCCGGTTATATACTTCATTCCTCCGTTGCCTTAATAATACTCTGCATATATCCAGAATTGGCTGCTGTGATTGGCTATCATGTGTGGACACAGCCGAATATGCATAAAACCGCTAGTGCTTGGGTGATGATTATTTGATGATTTGTAAGTTATGAAGTCATGTACCAGTTACCAACTAGTTTAACTCTCACTTGCCCCACACCGATCCAGTTAGCGTTTATTTAAGACATCAACTTCACCAGGGTCCGCAGGGTATCCAAGGACGATCCTGACGAACTGCCTCGCCGAACTTCTCACTCATCGTCGATATGCCCACCAAGGTTTTCATCACCGGCGTGACCGGCTACATCGGCGGAGACGCCTTCTATTATCTGTCGCAACACCACCCCAACTTCGAATATTCTGCGCTAATTCGCTCGGAGGAAAAAGCGAAACGTGTCCGCGAGGCATATCCTAATGTCCGTACTGTTATTGGTAGTCTAGACGATTCGGAGGTTCTTGCGAAACAAGCCGCTTGGGCAGATATTGTACTTCGTATGCCTCCTGCTTCCATCTCCTTGAATTTCTTCATGTATAAGTACAAGTGAAATATACTAACAAAACAGATACTGCCGACGCCTCCGACCATGTTGGCGCAGCCAATGCCATTGCCAAGGGAATGATCGAGGGCCATTCCGCCGAAAGACCGGGCTACTGGCTCCACACCGGCGGCACCGGTATCTTGACATACTTCGACTCCGAAGTGAAGAAAGTCCACGGCGAGCACGACGAGAAAGAATTCAATGACGACAAGGGGGTAGACGAACTGGTCAACCTACCCGCAGCTGCCTTCCACCGCAACATCGATGAAATTGTTCTTAAGACAGGGACTGAGAATGCCGACAAAGTGAAAACAGTCATTGTTTGTCCACCCACGATCTACGGAAAAGGAAGAGGACCTGTTTCATCTCGCGGTAGACAGGCCTATGAGCTTGCCAGCTTCATCTTGAAGCAGCACTACACTCCTCAAATCGGCAAGGGCCTAGCACGTTGGAATAATGTGCACGTTTATGATCTGAGCACCTTGTTTGGGGCTCTTGTTGATGCGGCACTTGAGCCTAGCAAGAAGGATGACAAGGAGATCTGGGGAGAGAAAGGATACTTCCTCTGTGAGAACGGGGAGCATGTCTGGGGCGATTTGGCGAAGTTGATTGGGGAGAAGGCACATGCTCTGGGTTTCTTGAAGGAAAAGCCAGAAGTTAAGGAATTATCACTGGACGAGGCGATCAAATCACCGGCAGGATTCGAGGCCGCGAGTTGGGGCTGGAATTCCCGCGGCAAGGCGCTGAGAGGACGGAGGGTTCTGGGGTGGATGCCACGCGAGAAGAGCCTGGAGGAAGAAGTGCCAGAAATCCTGAAAGCGGAGGCTGCGAGGTTGGGAATCTAAGTATCAGCCTTGAGTTGTACCGAGAACTCTCTAAACAGGGTGGCTATCTCGGATAAACACCGTAAGTAGATGCAAGATAATAGCGAAATCTCTCTTCCGCAAGCTGCACTCTTATATCGCTAATCTATGTCTGCATGTTGTAAAAAGCGATTGATACACTAAGTAAAATTAGGTTAACGATACTTCTCTATCAGAGGAAAGCTTTTGCTAAAATAAGTGATAGATCTCAGTTTCCATTATAATAGCGCCATCATCACCACAAAGGTATCCAGAAGGACGTAGCATTCGCAGTCCTAGTGGGCCGCGAGTTGTGCACGGTGCAGCTCTGCACGCTAACTGAAGGGAGTGCATGAGGAGTAGTTTGTAATATAGATAAGGCCCAATCCTCCTTGCATTACGAGGTCCACATAAGTGGCTTATAGCCGGTCGAGCTTCTGGCTATATAAGGGTTGATATAGCCGAGAGTATTTGTTGTAGAAATGTAGTGCAGGAGGCATATCTGACCTTATAATACTGAGGATAATGATGATTCCAATTAATTAAAATTCATGACGAACGAAGACTACAACCTTTTCAACCGGTATATGGTCAAGGCATGTACACATCACGCTCAATCACAACGTTGATACCCTTCGATTTTATATGTATACATTACATCGTAAATTCCCACACAACAGCAGATATCCAATCCATCTACTCACCAAGCTCAACAACAATATGCCCCACCCCCCTTGAAACACAAGCCAACATCTCCGACCTCTGCTCCGACTCCATCAAAGCCGTACCCCGATGCAGCACCCTCCCACAGCGAACAGAAACCCTACAAGTGCCACAGTTCCCCACCTCACAAGAACTTCCAATCTCGAAGCCAGCATCCCGCAAAATCTCAAGAAGCGACTGCTCAGCGCCGACCTGGAGCCCCTCGGACTTTCTGTTCGGACCAACAACATCCACAGTGAAGGGGTCGCCCCCGGCATCCTCACCATTAAATAACTCGTAATGCACCTCATCAGAAGACATGTCTACACCAGCGGCTGTCTGAATCACGTCATCGATCATGCGCTGTGGCCCACACACATAGACGTGGCTGTTCCAGATGCGATTTCGCAGAATCTTCGCAATGTCGAGGCGTTGGCCCTGGGATTTGTCGTAGATGGTGACGTGGGACTGTAGGGCGATTAGAAGAGGCTGGAAGGCGATGTCGGTGGTGCTCCGCACAGCATAATGTAGGGAATAGTCCTGGTTGGTGTCTTTGAGGCGTTTCATCATGGCGATAAGCGCTGTGATTCCTATGCCGCCCGCGATGAAGATGTGGTGAGATGCCATGTTGTCGATGGTGAGGCCCTGCCGTATCTCGGAGGCCACTAGGATTGTGTCACCTTGTTTGAGTGTTTGGTGGATATAGCTCGATCCGCCGCGGCTGCGTTCGTCTAGGGCCACGCCCAGCGTGAAGCGATCCGTGTCGCCATGGACGATGGAGTAGGCCCGGCGTAGACCAGATGGGAGCTTGAGCCGGGCATGGCTGCCGGGTAGTATAGCACTAGGTGAAGGTGCACTTCGGCGCACTGCCTCCAGCTCCAGCCGCACGATACGAGGTGTCTCCGCGGTATGACTGACGACTCTGAACTGCCTCCATGTCTCAGGTGGACGCTTAGCCGCGGCCTCCTTCTCCTCATGGGCTCTCCAGCGGTCAATAAACACGTCCTTGCACTCATCCCCCAGGACCTCCATGGCAATAAGATGCTGCGTCGCCGCCAAGTCCGTCTTATCGCGGTGGACATAGTGATGCAGCCGAGCGATGGACCATCGCGCATGACTCCGATGAATGACGCGAATCTCCATGCCTTCCTGAATCCAACCCTCCTCAACGACACGATAATACCATCCCGTCTTGGCCTCTTGGTGAGTGAGTGGAGCGAAGTTCTTGATCCCGAAGCGCTGATTCAGCTTGAAGCACGGCTGGCGCGGCAGACTGACCTCTAGGACGCAACCATTGCGGCCGCCGGTGCGCAGGGAACCCGGGGGCCCGATGCGCACCCTGTCGCCGATGCAGACGGTCTGCTCGTTCCAGCCATCGGCGACGAGGTTCTCGCCAAACCCGCCTGGTATGAAGCGCGCGCGGGCCTCGGGAAAGCGATCGGCCCAGTAGGAGTAATGGTCCGCGCAGTACTGGTGAATGGCTTTGTCGATACCGCCGTGGAAGGCCAGATCGTGCTCGTCGTCTTCGAGGCCGGTAGTGGAGACGTATAGTTGGCCGGGACGGGTTTGTTTGTCGATGGCGGAGAGGACGGGGCCGAAGGGGCGGAGCTTGGAGGTGCGGATCTCTTGGAGGGTCGTGGGGGGCGGAATGGGGATGAGGGGTGGTTGTGATGGTGAAGTGAAGTCGATGCGGGTCATTCTTATAATATAATTTCTATAGGTGTTGGAAAAGGAGTCATCGATAATGCATATTTGCTGGGGAATGAGCCTAGGGCTTGCATTTATAGTATGATTCTTTGCATCGGGACCAAATAAGTTACTAGTGATCCGTGGCTGTCGTTCCGGTTCACCCGATTAGGAAGTTGACTGGTGAGGGATCCACTCTTCGAATCCTGATTATTCCATTATATTCCACCCGTATTGGTCAACTGTGACTTGTTGGTGCAGATGAACTAAAGATTGCGGAAGGGCCTGGCTGACCGTGATGACCACGATTAGATAGGTCCATCCGACGCCGATGCCCCCGAGGAAGAACGCTGCGATGATGCTTGCGAAGCTCGCGTACTGGGTACTTAGGCCGGTCATGAGCATGGCGCCGCGACCTGCTACCCTAGGGGCGCAGTGGCGGTCGATGAGGGCAGCGGCTTTCGAAAGCCCGACGGACAGACCAACACGGGCGCTTTCAAAGGACGCCATGGCCCAGTCAGGGGAGATCCCTGATGATCGTGGAAGCTCGGCGTGCAGGGCACTGGCGGCGTACAAGGTGCCCACGGTGAACATGTTGGCGTAGCTGAAGGTGGCGGTTAGCCATGGCAATGGGGTTGATGTAGCTGAGGTTGTCATTGTGTCTTGATATCGATCCCCTGATACTCCTTTCTGATTTGGAGGAAGAATAATTGGTGAGGATAGGGAGACGATGGAATTATGGTTCCGAAGTAGTGGACGAAGGAAGGGAGAATGGTCCCAATTTAGGGCGAAATTGCCTCCCGCCGTTTCAAACCACTTCCTTGTATTTGGAGACACTCCGCACTCCCAGTTCGCTATTATGATACTAAATGAGTCCTAAATTAGTATGACCTACTCCACAAACTGCACTGGCTCTCTACGAGAGCGATTCACCCGCAGATCAAAGACATCCAACCGCTGATACCCGCCCACGACATCATGATATTGCTTCCCCTCAACAGTCCTACGCAAATCCAGATTTGCGTACAGAATGCCCTCCTCTAGCTGCAGAAACTCCTGACTTTGCTTCGCTCCCGTCTCCTTATCGACCGTCCAGCCGGGCACCGGCGCGCCCGTAGGATCCAAGAACATACTGACCCCACGCGGTGACGCCTCCAGGGCACGACGCAAGCGGCCCGGCTCGCGCGCCCCATCCAGCAAGGTCTCAATAGCCGTCTGATCCAAGACAGCACTGCACATGACACCGAAGCATTTGGCCTCGAAGCAGTGTGCTGCGGCGCGTAGCCGGTTCGCGAGCACATTGTCGTAGTTCCGATCTCCCTCCTCATCATCATCTTCCCCAGCCAGCACGCGCGTCGGCCACACGCATGGCCAACTCGAGATATGGATCTGCTGGCGCTGACACATCAGCGCATACCGGGCTAGCGGATTGGTATTCTCGCCGCAGATAAGGGCTCCAATGCGCCCGGCTGAGGTATCCGCCACGCGCAGACCGTGCCCGTCGCCGGGACTCCAGGTGAGTTTCTCGAAGAAGGTGGGCACGAGCTTGCGGTGGTGGACGAGGATGTCGCCGTTGATGTTGATGATTAGATTGGTATTGTATAGGCAGGCTGTGCTGGCGGGTGCGCGCTCCGAGATGCCGATACTCACAGCGGTTTGGGTCTCGCGTGCTGCGGCACACAGCGCGGCTACTTCTTCCCCTGTTTGGCCGTCGAGGTCCTTCACGGTGATGGATTCGGCCACCATGCGCTCGAAGAAGGCGTGGTTGTCTGTTGGGGCGCGCAGGGCACTCCAGAGGGGGAAGCCTGCGATGTAGGATTCCGGGAAGACGACTAGTTGTGCCCCGTGGCGGGCGGCTTCGTGGATGAGCGAGATGGCTTTTTGGGTGGTTTCCTTGGCTGAGAGGAAGTGGGGTGCGACGTGGCAGGCTGCTACGCAGGTGATGGGATGCTGCTGCTGATCTGTTGCTTCCATTGTGCTTGTTATAGCTGGAGGGACGGGGGATAGTTGTGTAGGGTTGGGAAGATGGAAGATTGTAAGATAATGGAATCTCGTAGTTGAATGAGATGATGTCCTATGCGGAGGCATTGCGCACCTTATATAAGTTCAAGAAGTTTCACTAAGACATGACCAGGGTACGAAACTAGTAACTAGTATGCCGGTCTTCCGATGTTCGGCCAGACGGTAAATCCGCCCACTGGGGATATTGAAGCTGATAAGCCGCGCCCCAATCACAAACCACAATTCCCAGTACCTTCCAGTTCAAATATGTATAAAACTACGCTTTTTCACAGCAAACCTTCTCATCCTACTCATCCCCCCTTACATTCGACTCCGGGTGAATCGCGACTACTACAGTACGATCGAAGACTGCCACCAAATGCAGCCCTTCATGCATATACCCGTCTATATAGCCGGACTGAGCTTGCATGCACCCTTTGATCGGGATTCCTCATGTTATCTTAATAACCAACTCAGTTTGTAAAAACTTTTACGATCGGGGGTTCACAGTTGTGTCGCTTGTGAGCAACCTTCCTGGCATGCCCCCAACGCAGCAATCTACGAGAAAGCCGGCAAGTTATGTAGGCGATGCAATCAGAAGCGTATAAAGTGCCCAATAAAAACTGCATTCAACGTTATAATGGCCATTGTACTCGCGCTGAGACCAGGCGGTGCTCATACACCCGGACTGCGTCTTCGGTCGTCTCCAGAGGCTTGAATGTCTACCCCAACAGTGAGTAGCGGCCCCCTATCTTACTTAACATGCAACTACCGCAGCCGTGCCACACCCTGCGTTTGAAGACACCACTCACCGCATCAACCAATGTCATTTGGGGATCATTCTCTTCTCCCGATGGCGCAAAAGTCACAGACTCTCTGTTCCAGCAGCTATCTGCCGGATCCGATGACACCGCTACATGCTGTGGAGATATTTCGTGGTCTGCCATGTTCGATCACTTCCCGAAATAACCACGAGGACGGCATTTACATCCCACCTGAGGACCTGGAACGTAACAAAGAGGTGTTTAAATGTTCCGACGAAGCCCACCTGGGCACTCTCCTGAATGTCTTCATAAAACGCGTATAACCCCGCTTATCTATTCGTGAAATCATCAAGAGCTTCTTCAGCAGCATGCAAATGGAATCATCCTATTATTCTTGAACATTCTTTTTGCTTCATCGCGACCAACCCCTGTGTAAAATCTGTATTGCAGACCGCAGACTCCGCTCAATCTTTTATACATTGATAGAAGTCCTCTTCAATCCCGGTGAAGATATCAGCAAGATTGTCATTCTCCAAAGTGCTATTATGATGTCGTTTCTGGGAGTGGGCCCAGCCAACTACTGGAACATCTATTTCTGAATTAGCACTGCTGTAACGATAACAAAAACAGTTGACATCTATAGGTCGATGGCGGCGACCAACATACAACCGCAGGTTAGCGGCCCCGACGGAGTCGGGGTGCACTCTGCAATAGCACGTGGGGTGTCTTATAAACAACTAAAGAATTTCAACAGTAGTCAAGGTGATAAAAGCATATTATGTATTAAGCTATAGTTGCCTCTGCATTCGCATATAAGTGCAGGGAAAAACCCCTCTGGTTGAGGAGCAAAAACCTGTACTGAGGCTTGCAAAGATTACAAAAACCATAATCAAACTTAGACAGGTCATAAATATGAAGGCCACTTGCCAGCTTGCTCCCCAGGGCTGGTCAAAGCATTTCTTTGGCTTCTGTAACACACTTTCAGTGTTTTAAGTTTTAGTCTCTCCTGAAGGATGCGCCAACTAGCTACTAAGTTCAACGAAAGTACATACCTTTGACTATCAATAGATTTGTGTCCACGATCCAATGCCGTGTGTGCTGAAATTTTGGTCAACGGGCATGGGCAGCTGGCCTGCGATTTTAGGAGTGTTATCAAAAGCGGTTTCAAAATCTGTACTACCAATGTGGCCCTCGAAACTATGTGTACCCGTGAGTTGTTCTGTAGTATCGTAATTCAATTTTGCTGACGCGGTGCCGAAATTTGGAAGCGCTGGATTGAGGGTCAAAGAGCACTGAGAGTCATAACCATCGACATCAAATACTGCATCTGCTCGATTTGGAGCAACCCATCTGAAAATTCCATAAGATGTGGGCATAGTGACTGCACCAAATAGTCTTGTAGGTGGAAAAAGAGCTCAAGTCTTGACTTATGATGTGGTAGCTTCAGTATATGGAAGAAGGATAGATAACAGAAGTCCTAGGTTCAAACTCCAGGATATATCAGGGAGGTTTTATACGTAGGTCGGTACTGGTAGTACTAACCTGAGAAGGCTTGTACAGTGAACCCAAAGTCATAACTAATTCTAAGTACCAAACCTAATAGTGGACCACTGACAGGGACTTCATGATAATGTCATACCCATTTCTTAGAGTTTCACTGGCGGACCCATGACCGTAAGACTTGATTTGCGCCTTACTTTGTGGCCTCTGTCTGACATGCAATTAGATGGTGTATAACGTTTCCTATTACATTAAACTTTATTTGCAAACGGCCCACTGCATAAAGCCTAGAATAACCCAGAACGCAACCTAAGACCGCCCTTGAGCATACAGACGCAATCACAAGGTACTTTGCTGAGGCTAGCATATGAAATCTAGTGTTAGTCGATGATTCATTGTTCATTTCATTTTGGATCGAGACTTTGGTTTCTATGCTGTTTGCAAATAAGCTTCAGTAAGTGACATCTATCACATGTGAGTCCCAAGAGCTGTACGGAAAAAAACCCTAAGAAGGCCCATGATACAGCCTCAGAAGGCTGTCTTACCATGAAACGAAACTATAGGGAATGCATGCTAACAATTGAGACGGATTTGTCTTGATTCGGCCGAAAGTCCACGGAAACTCTGCCGCTGCATTGCAGTCTTCTATAAGTATAGGTTTTCTAGTACATTGAATTTTTCGGGCCTTGTAGGGTTAAATTTCTAACCTCTTTTTTACTGAACAATCCACTTATTTCTAGGTTCCCTGAATAACTCAGATTCTTATGATACTATTATTTTCAACTACAGTACTATTACTATAGTATTCATTGTAATCTTGTAGCTACCATATCTTGAAGCAAGATACAGTTCTGGTCATTCCATATCGCGTCATACGCGGGGTAAAGTGTCCATGGTAAAGCTTTTGCTGGAACGCGGATCTGAGATCGACACCCCATGGGGTATCTTGGATTGCGGCTAATCGCAGCCGTTGGCTTCTAGAGAGAAAGAAAATCTTCATCTCCTTTTGGCCTGTGGAACTAATTCTTCATCGTGAAGCTACCGGCTTGGAATCTAAGAGTTCTTTGGAAGGAAAGGCATGTGAGGATCTTCTTTGTTACTAAAAATACTCTTCCGCGTGGTAGTAATAGACCCCTAGGTCTGGTCAACGGTTCTCACTGAATGAATAGATGAACCCGTAGTGAGCTTGGGCCCAGACACTGAAGAGATACTCAGCCGTATCCTTCTACTACACCTATATATGAAATTTAGTGCATTAGGGTTATCTAGAAGAAAGAGAAAAGTGGTTAGTGGCAAAAAGTTTACTTGAGAAGTTTGTGGGTTAGCTAAAATTGACTCTGGCATGGCAGATAGGCAAAAGGGAGAATAGAAAGTTTGTATGAAGAGAAACACCTCTCACATAATACCTAGATCATGCTGCTCGTGAAGTGCCGTTTGCGTACTTCCCACTATGTCACGGGATCGTGTCCCGTCCTTTCAGTCATGACTTCCGCGCATGAAACCCTTTTTTTTTGGGGGGGGGGGGGGGGTTTAATGGCCAACAAAAGCACATTTCAGCTCCATAGGCAATCCAGAAAGAGCTGTGGCTGGCGCTCCAGCCGTGCTGTTTGCTCTTGATTTGTTTGACCAACCTCTCACTTTCACCGGGGTACGAAGTGGCGGCGTCGCGGACCTCGCTATCACCGTCATCACCGGAGCCCAGGTCCGCGCCGCCGCGGAATATCACAGCAATCGCGGGATCAGGCGGAAAGTCCAACCCTGTGCCTTCCTCTCATCTGCAAGGATTCAGGTCCAGGTTAACGCGTCCTGAATTCGTCTTTAGGTAGGGATCGCTCGCATCGCAGAATATCTCCGCACTCACTTGTGGCGGCACTCCAGGTTTTCGCCATCAAGACGGATATTACGAATTACCTTAGTGTCCCGTTTGGAGAAAGCCTTTAGGAAAGGGTGGGTTCCGAATTGCTAATAAGTTGTCGGCTTAAATGTCCACATTGCCTTGGGCAGTTGTTCATCCCAGACTCTGATTGTTCCTGTAGTAGGATCCAGAGCCTGAGCACTCACCATTCTTATCACAGGCAAGAGCCAAATGACCCTTGGACTTGCTGACTTTGAAACAGCCAGAATTTACAAAACACGGCTGCCTTTCTGGCCTGTGACGGCGAACATTAGTGGTGGGTGTAATTCATAGGCCCTATTTTTGCTTTTCTATATATGCAAGAAACGCAGCACTTGAATGTTAACTCGAGGCGCGGGCCTGTTGTCGGAAGGCTGAGGTTATTCATGGCGGGTGGGGGAAGATTTTACCCCGCAGAAGCTATGTATGCTCTCCTAGAAACGTCCCCTGAAGTTGTTTTGTGTTGGCACTTCTATCGTTCACTAGATCTGCTGTGGACCCTCCGCCTCGCTCAGCGCTGCCCCGAACGCTCCCTCACAAGGGCCCTCTCTCCCGGGACTACCCACCATAGTGGCCACTACCCTGGAAGCTACTGCAGGGCCGCGGTCCCCATGCGAGCCGTATATAATGTTTAAATTTATGTAGTTCATTCAAGATGGATAAGGCAGACTATATGCGGCATTCGCTCAGCAACTGGACAGTATATTAAGAAACAGAAACTACTTTACTACTGCTAGACTGGATTTAGCCTTCAGTCAAACGCATGGTCTTAATTCTATTATCGGCCCACTATCTGTATGCATTAATCGTGTTCAAATCTAATCTTCAGGTGCCTTGGCTCGAAGAAAAGTCACTTTGCCAGATGCATGGCCCATTATTAGTAGATCATCATCAGTAGCAGCAGCACATGTAGCGTGGTAGTCATTAGGCAGCAGGATCGCTTCATTTCCAATCCGGGCCCATTCATCTTCAAATACTGCCAGATCACGCGAGGAGGCGTACTCAGATCCCTTGTAGAAGGACCGAACGTCAGCTCGACCGATGTCCGTCATTATGCTTGTCCCATTGGCAGAGAAGCAGAGAATTTGCCGGCTAGCTGCAACACCTCGAGTACCAATGAGGATGCCTGTCTTCACATCCCACAGGCTTGTTCCACTTTCGGGAGAATGCGGTCCCCAAGAAGAAAAGCCTCTGGTCCATCCAGAGGCCAGCAATGTGCCATCCGGAGAGAATGCGATCGCCCTCGGTGTATGCCTTTCCCCTCCCAGGTAATCTCCTATCAACCTCCTCAAGGTCCAAGTAACTGTATCCCAAAGCAACACAGTGCCATTACCAGACACGGATGCTAGATGTGTGTTATCGGGGGACCATGCAGTGTGAGAGATATTGCCATCACTGTCAGATATCAGTAGCATCGTTTTGAGCTTTCCAGATGATAAGCTCCATATCGAAATGCCTCGGTCAGGCAATGTTACAGCCAGAAGCTCTCCATCTGGGGAGAATGACAAAGAAGATATATTACACCCAGACCCATTCAGCACTGGTCCGATCTCCCTAGTCTTTCTGTTCCACAAGTTAATCGAGTAGCTCTCTCTATCATAGCCAAAATCACGCTGAGGAGGCTGCTCTTCCAAGTCGGGTTTAATCTCAGAGTCATTCATCATCAAGTCCGGAGACCCTCTTATCCATACGGCTTGCGCGAAGATATCACCATTAGGACTGAAAGCGAACTCTGAATCTTCCCAGGATGTCTTAGGGAGTATGCACACCAGCTTCCCAGTATCCATGCTCCATACCTGATCACTTGATTTGGTGTGATTGGCAAACAAACGCCCGTCTGGAGAAAACAAAGCCTTGTGAGGGAACCAACTCTCAACTTCCATTGCCGGGCTTTTGGTCCGGACGTTGCAAAGAAATATACAATCGCTCATGACCGCGACACTGTTGTGGTCAGGAGCTAGGTACAGCTGGTAAATATGAGACGACGAAAATTGTCTCATAGAATTTTTGTTCACTGGTTTCCCCGTAAGGTCCCACAAGCGAATACCTTCCTGAACAAACTTAGTCGCCAGGAGAGATCATTATTAGAAAATTCGAAAACCTGTGCAGGGCTTGTGCTATCATCCAGAGCTTGGAGGAGGTCTCCAGATGTGGCATCCCATACTTTAATTAGATTTCTTTGGTCGCTTTGATAGTCCTGCGCAGATGCCAACAGCCTGCCGTCGGGTGACAGCTGGAGCAGCTGACCGCCGCCATAAGTTGTCTTGACCTCCGTGCCAGAAGCCCAATCCCACCACTTGACTTTTCCTTTCTGTTGTTGGTCAAGCCCACTGCTGATCAGGGTTTTGCTATCCTGGGAGAAGGTGAGATCCCTGACGTCGTCAACGAAAAAGGATTTGAGCTTGTGGTGCGTTTTCAGGCACCAGACGGATATAGTTCTGGCCCATAGAACGGCAATTACATCCTCAGTAGGGCAGAATGCCACCTTCCCTGTTGAGATTCTCTTGGGATCACCTGCTTCAATGGAATGATCCAAAGTAGCGTCCGTTGTGTTCCACACCCGAACTGTTCCCTTTGTACATAGAGTTGCCAGAAGCTCACCATTAGGTGAAAGCGCCATAGACAATAGCTTCGACTCGTGAGGCTTGAATGACTTTGTTACATTCCATTGCTTGATGTCAAGAAGTAAATGCGTTCCACCCAATGAATACGAAGCTGCTCTGGCCCTGTCAATGGAAAAGGTTTGCGCAAGAGCCCACTGGCCTTGCATGGGGGATTTTATCTGTTTTATTAAGCGCCCCGAGGACACATCCCACACTCTTACATTTCCTTCCTTAGATAACGATATGACTTCTTTGCCATCTCTGGAGAATGAGACAGAGCACCCAATCCCCATCGGCTTAAGGGTGTTAAGAAGTGTTCCTGTAGTTGTATCCCAGATCTCAACTTTCGAAGTTGCAAGTAGCTTGCCATCGGGTGATAAGGCGAGACCCTTGCATACGTCAGAGATATCACTAAGGGCCTCATAACCTCCCAGTGTCTGTAATAAAGGGCTCCAGGATTTCCGCATCGCTGGTGGCTCAATTATCCACTCAGGGATTGCGTTCTCGTACTGCTTCCGGACAAGGCTTTGTTCAGGAGTGTAAATAAGTGCTGAGATGTAGACCTGCAAGGGTGCCTTCTCGATGGCCGTTCGTGAGTGGCGCATAAAACGTTTATATCATGGACAAAATCACACAGACCGGATCGCCCACCACACTGTACATTCCGGGTCAGTTACGTATGGAGAGGAAGATTTCTTTAAATCTGGAATGAAAAGATACATGGGCAGTGCACCAATCTGAAACACCCTGTTAACTCTGGCGTGAAGGTCACCCTCCTGGCTGCCCTCCTGGTCTTCCTTTCGCATGCGCTCACAATCAATGCTAGCAGGTCCTTGAGCGATTCTTCGACATATTGCGGGGTAGACTTGAATGTTTACTTTATCTCCATGGAGGCACTCTTCGGTACTATGTGAGAGTAGAGATCTACTCAGTACGCTAACATGCAAGCTATTTCCAAACTAATTCTACGCTAACCGTTGCTTGACAGGTCAGTTGTGGGGGAGGGGACCTTTTGTCATCCATCATTGTACCAGGCTTATCTAGATCAAGCTTCAGGATCCTCATAGAGAGTTGCCTGTCTTCCACAGGAAGCTGTTGCCCGGAGCTCTCATGAAGGCTTTTACTTCTTTGCTGATGCACTACTTCACTTGATGTTTGCCACCAAGTCATGCAACATCTCGATATGTCTCACTGTCACGCCGTCCACCTGCATTGGGGCTATGAGGTTGGTAACTTGGTGTTTTTGATGCATGTATATTTAGGTTATATCTCTGACGGGACAGTTTTATTTTTACTAGTTGGTGATTCCGGTTCAAGTAATCAGGCAGCATCATCATCTCTGAGCAGTGGGCCTCGATCTAACTGGAACGAGTGAGATGCATACTAGTGCATTGGTAGTGCTTATTCTTGACGGATGACCTGCTGGATCGAGTAAAAGTCGGAGTCTAATGATAGTGGGCCTTCCCGTCAGTTGGCCAGAGGCTACTTCCGATCTTTGTATCGCAATCCACTGAATCCACTGAGTATACTAGGATGATGAGTGACCCTCCCATCTTATCCTTCATCGAATCAGCACGGACAAGGCTATACCTTGTAGTACGAATAGCGATGTACTCCATCCTCCAAAACTTTTTTGGCCCCCAACTGACGAGCCTTATAGCCAAGTGTTTTACCCTTTGCCTGAATCATCTATTTAAACCCCAGCCATTATTAATCCATCGACCCCGCAACAACCACCACACTTATCACAATCATGCCGTGGACTACAACCGAGCACTCGCCGAACACCCTCACCCGGCCGCTTGGCCCTAACGAGGTGTTCATCAAGTTGGTCAGTGACATTGGCCACCCACTAGGCCGTGAACATTGGGCAGTCAACTACACAGTCACCATCCGTCCTCGTGGGGAATTTGCAGCGGATCTCCTTCCAACGCTGATCCGCCACAGCTGGTTGCATCTGCGCTTCCAACACCCCAGTCTAGCCGCGCATCCAGACTCCTCCGACGCCAACCTCGTCTACACAGTTCCCGAGTCCGCCGATACCCTCAACCAATGGGCCTCCCAAACCTTCTTCATCAAATCCGACGCCCAGTCTGCCGACGATGTGATCCGCACCATCGCACCCGCCCTTGACGCCCAACTATACTACATCCCCAAATCCAGCCAGCTCCTCCTACACACGGCACACTGGCGCACCGATGGAGTAGGCGGCTTCCTCCTCCTCGGCCAGCTCGTCGACCTAATGGCCTCTCATGCCGACACCCTTCTCTCAGGAAGCCTTCCTGACCCATTTGACGCCTGCGCCTGGGGTACCGAGACCACTCGACTATCCCCATCAGTTGAAGAAGCCGGCAACATGCCCCTAACCCCAACCGACGAACAAAAGGCCATCGCGCAGGAAGCAGTGGGCACCTTCGCCCACGTTCAAGGCGCCGTAGGAATCCCCTACACCGGAGACGCCACAACCATCCCCACGGGCACCCGAGCCGCCGAACTAACCTTAACCCCGGCGGCCACCACCGCCGCCCTCTCCGCCGCCAAAGCCCGCGGCCTCGGCATCACCGCCGCCACGCACGCTAGCGTCGCGGCAGTCAACTTCCAGCACGCCATCCCTGAGCACCGCGCCCAGCGTCGTCACTACACCAGCACCATCCGGCACACGTTGCGACCATATATGCCCGAGCCGTACTCTGGTCCCGCGGGGGCTGCCACGCTGTTCACCACGGGCTGGATGTACCGCGTCGACCCCACGAGTAGCTGGGAAGAAAACGCGCGCAAGTATCACGCTGAGTATCGGAGGGGACTTAGTAAAGAGTATCTTCTCGCTCATCGTGAGTATGCGACTATGTTGGTGGGATTGCTGCGGAACCTCCCGGCACCGGAGGAGCCGCCGAGTGATTTTGATATTAGCAGTTTGGGGGTTCTGGAGAAATATTTGCAGAGAGAGTATGGGAGTCCTAAGAGCGGGTTCAGTATCTTGCATGCGGGGCTTGGGGTGGAGATGCTGGCAAGACAGGGTGTGGTTTATGTTTGGACTTTCAGGGATCAATTGACGCTGAGGGTGGTGTTTAATGAGGCGTATCATACGGAGGAGCAGATGTGGGAGTTTCTGAGGGATGTCAAGGCGGATCTGCTACGGGAGTTGGGGGTGAAAGAGTAGATACAGGTTTAGACGACGAGAATAGCAAGATTTATGGTTAGCTCTTCTATGGATATAATACCTATCTTGACATATTTAATCTTTCCATTATGGAGCATAACTTACCTTGATAAATCTTATCCTTGTTCCAAGACAATAATATGCGACCGGCAAAAAAAAGCGAGATTTGGTGTTCTATAACCATCTATGGAGGCAAAATTAGACAGATCTTAAGACTCACAGACCGTGAAGGAAGAACAACACTCTGCCTGAGCAACTTTAAAATACTTAATAGTCGATATATGCACCTAATGCAACCGCAAAGTCAATGATAAACTTTACGGACAGCGCCGACTCCTGCAGGGATAGACCAGCCACCTGTAGGAACTCCAAGTATGTATCAGCAAGCAAAGCATGATTAAACCGGAAAAAGAAGCACGATTCCAAGATTTTGTATATCTTGATTTCCAGACTTCTTTCCCGGGTCAAATCAGCAATACGTGTCATGATGATTCAGGCAGCATTCATCCCAGTATCAGAGTAGCTCTGAAGAAGTATGAAACAGCCTTTAGTCCCCAGAAGTGCAACCTTATGGCTGGGGGCCTGGGCGGGCTAACTCGTAGTATATCCACGTGGATGATATCTTGCGGTGCTCGACGGTTCGTATTTCTCAGTCGATCCGGTAATGATAAGCCCCAGGCGAAGAACTTGGTCGAATATCTACAGGCGCAAGTAGCCTATGTCACAGTGATCCGGGGAGATGTTTGCCGGTACGAGGATGTCGAACGGGCTGTGGAAGTGGGGGACTATCCTACTGGTGGCGTAATCCAGACGGCTATAGCACTCGACGAGACTATATGGAGTGATATGCCGCATAGTGCGTGGCGAACTACTATGAGCTCCAAGGTGCAGGGGACTTGGAATCTTCACAATGCGTTGAGGCAGAATGGTCGAGACTCCCAGCTGGACTTCTTCGTCATGACTTCATCCATCTCCGGAACCGTGGGCACAGCAACTGAAAGCAATTACTGCGCAGCCAACTCGTTCCTAGATGCTTTCGCCCGGTATCGAAACCATCTCGGACTACCGGCTATCTCTCTCGGCTACGGGATGATTTCAGAAGTATACATGCACGAGCACCCAGACATCGAAGCGCTTACGGATCGTGGAGGAGTCCATCCCATCAACGAAGACGAACTGATCCAGATCATGAACATGGCTCTCGTAAACCAAAGACCATGCACATGGGACTCTCGCTACGATCACCCTGGCGGGCAGTCACATTCTCACCGGTGTGGAGTTTACCGGCCTTCAGGAACAGCGGGAACGAGGATTCGAGGGCGACAACCATGTCCTTGCTGATCCTCGTGCTGCAATTTTCACTGCGTCCTTTGCCCGCCGCGCCGCGGGGGAGGGCAAACGCGAAACGCGCAACGCGACGGCACATCTTCCTAAGAATATTGCGCGAGCGCTGCGCGACAACCAAGATGTGGAATCGAACCTCGATGCACTTCGTGCTGTTGTATCAAAGAAGATCTCCAATCTAATTCTTCTGCCAGAGTCCGACCTGCAAGCGAACCAGCCTCTGGGTGACTCTGGCTTGGATCCTATGCTGGCTGCTGAGTTTCGGACCTTTATCTTCCGCATGTTTGAAGTTGACATTCCTTTTGTGGTACTTCTGAAGAGGAGCACAATTGTGAATCTTCTGACTGATATGATTGCCCAAGGTCTACAAGCAGGTACTTGAGGTGCTTTCCCCCTAATAGCGATGAAGGAATCATATCATCGACAATAATGGAAGGGAAGTGCTGGTTTGAAACAGCGTAGGAAACAGAAGAAGAGCTAGGATATTCCTTCCAGATTTGTGAGTGTATCTAGTAGAGGACTGATCTTAATTTCAAGTTCAAAGAAATGCGACCGCCCGCTAGAATTTGCACTTTGCAAAAGGTAGGACCATCTGTGAAGGCCATCTATAAGCTGGAAGTTCAATTGCGGTCCAGACATACTATACATCAAGGCATGGATCTAGACGATGAAATAACGTCACTGTGTGGGGCCAACTGGTCCATGGAATCATATGAATAACCCGTGACAAATGGACAGAAACCCATTCTATGTGCAGCAAAAAGAGTTCAATTTGCATTGCAGTTAAATTAAAATGTACTTGAGCGCGAAAACGTCAGTATCATATCAAAGGTAGGATTTACTGCTTGAACTTTCATGACCAGGATTGGTGAGTGAGCCTACATTGGTGTACGTTCAGATGTCACTCTTCTACAAAGTTCATGGAAACATGGTCTCGGCCAGTGTAACCATGCTATTCCGATTCCGAAAACAAATAGAAAAAGTCCAAAGCAACTCTAGAACCCAGGAATGTTACTTCATAATCAGAGTTCAGCACAGACTACATCAGTCTGTTACAGCGGGTGATATCTTACAATGCTTGGTAGTTTCATCTCTCTGGGTTTATATTAGATTAGCACTGTTTAGGTGCACGCGAGATAACAGACATGGCTCATGGTATACAGGTTCTCAGAGTTCAACTGACATTCGGGAAGCTGTTTTCCGGTACTGGAACGTGGGACGGAAGCGGCGAATTGTCGTATTTGAGAGAAAAAAAAGCTTTTTTCTTTGCAACGCAGCCGCCCGAACATGAAGCTATTCCCAACTATGTAAACTTCCCGTGACAGGGAGGTAGGGTTCGAGGGCTGACTTGTAACTAAGTAACTAATCTTCATCGAACGAACAGCCATCGATAAGTCTTAGACAGCCTATTGGATTGATACTTATCCTATCTTTGATCATCCTGTCATCATTATGTCATGTTTAGTAGCGACGGAAACGGAAATGGAATCCGCGGAGGATAGACGGAGTCTGAAGTCATTGATGCTGATACTATGGCGTTTCCTACTCTATATATACCGGGTATGCGACCTCTAACTAAACCGATACACAAGGCATCAGTCTCATAACTCCTTGCTTTTCGTTGTCAATAATTTTTCGCATCCAGAAGGGTCTTCAGTTGGACTTCTCATTCACAACTACTACGCAGCCAATTCGTTCCCGGACACTTTCTCCTATTGCAACCAACTCAAGCTATCTGCTAGCTTTATCACTACAAGATGACTTCGGAAGTGGCATACATGCACCAACTCCCGGCCTTCGAGCCGCTCATGAAGCACGACATTGCTGATCCTCACGCTGTGTTCACTGAGTCCTTTGCCCGCGATGCCATTCGCGCAGTTATCTCGAAGAAGATCTCCGATCTCACCCTTCTGCCGGAAACTGAATTGGATGCAGCTCGGCCCCTGAACGAGTCTGGTGTGGGTTCCATGCTGACTGCTGAGCTTCGGACCTTTATCCTCCGCACTTTCGAGGTCGACGTCCCCTTCGACGTGCTTTTCAAGAGTGCAACTGTGAATGGCCTGACTGATATGATCGCCCGGGATCTGCAGGCTAGTGCCTAGGCACCTCGGTGTCGCGCCTTATTGTTGGGCTGGCGCGACCGAAGATATTCATGAGAACTTAGTGAACGTATCCATAATAATGTGACTGTGATTTACGACTCAATAGTAATTTTCTTTGAATCATAAACTTAAGAATGTCCTAGAAACAAGACAGAGATAAAACAATTGTCTGGCCAAGTGCCTACCTGGACAGCGGAGCAAGGCCTAAGGCCTGAATAATATGGATCTCGAGGACCCTTTCTGCTGTCACTTTCATCCTCTCACACCTTCGGTGTTTCATCCTCGCTGTCACCTCGCCCCCATTCGAAAAGGGTTCTGCTGACATGCTATTTTCGAATTCCTGTACAGCCATTGGGGTCCGTTCCTTCAGCTCGTATTCTAGAGAGTCCGGCGGACTCCTTCCTTTTCCTTTAGCGCGATGTTGGTTTTCTCCTGGCTAAGCGAGCACCATCATTGCCAATAGGCTCCATACTACGCGATCATGATCATTTCGCGTACCAAAAAACTAACAAAGTCAACGAGAAGAATCTTCGCTGCTAGGAAAAACCGGTTGAGACATTTCCAATCACGATGCTCTTTCTGGCTTAAAAACCAAAACAATGCTGATCCTTTCCTTTTCTTTCATTCAGGAACCGAAGAATGCTATCGGCCCGCTAAGTGGGGATCTTGCGAACGTGGATGACGCTCACCAACCAGCCCTAAGCCCGACGGGTGATGCCGCCACGTACTGAGGCGCAAAACTTAATCGCACAAAAATAGACAAAATTGGCCGGATGTTTCAGGAACAGATCCATCCAACTACCGACACTTGAGGGCCGGGGCCACCATGCCATTGTCTTTCCGTGGATTGCGACGCCTTCCGCTCGAAATAGCAGCCACAGTGCTCGCCAGTTACGTAACAACTTAGCTTGACCTGGTTGGTTTTGGTTTACGACCTTGCTATTCCTTGTTTATCCTGGACAGCTCTGTTGAAGCTCACTTTATGCTTTGTGGCTTCACTTGTCACCCACGGTGTCTATGACGCTGCGCAAAATATCTCCGGCAAGCGGACTGTCCAATGTCTTGCCTTGTAGGAAACCAAAAACTAGAGCCGCGTTATGCCTTGCTGTGTTAGCGCGTACACACACCGCACAGGCTAGCCCCCGAGTTGGCCGGCGGAGTAGGGCGGATCCTATACAATTTATGGAGTCGATCTTTAGCTCGACTGCTCCGCAGGCTTACATAGGATATGTTTCTAGGCTGGTGGCGATTGCTGTCCGGTTCTGCGGAGGACCTGGACACACTTTCGGTCCAACCATAGCACTATTCCAGACCCAGATCATCACAGCCCATTGGTAAATTTGACTTGCTGATCCGCACACTCGACTAAATCTTCTGGAAAGATGAGCACTACTCCGGAGGATGATTACTTGGTCCGGCTTGGAGCCCGACTGGCAGAAATCCCAGTTGGGCTCAAGTAAACATCTAAGTGGACACCGGCATTTATTCCTGGACGCTGTACCACCGGGCTCCAGCCTTTAAAGGACGGTTCCAGCCAAAAATCTCAATGGCCAGCTAAGTCGAAAAATCCCAGGGGAGATGTCACGCAAGCATGCTCGCAATTCCATGGTGGAAGATGTGGTCATTCCTGCCCATCTCCTGGCCGCCACCACCCAAGTAAACGGTCCCTTTACAGCTCGGAGTGACGAGGCATCTGAGTCTGGGCCTGGCCCTATTCATCAGGCCATCCGCACTGAGGCATTGGAACGACAGTTTGGTCAGCTCCGCCGCTCAGCCAGTGTGAACAGCTCACATCCACAAAAGCCTAAGGATACTCGCTTCCGGCGCCAGAGTGCACCCTTGAGTGTAGCTGAGATATCTACGATTGCGGAGATCGAACCAGCACAACTTTCGCCCAATGGGTCTTCTCATGTCCAGTGGCAGCATGGCCAGGACGACTTCGGAGCACACAGCAGACAGCTGAGCGAGTCAATTCCGGCGACGAGGGGTGACGCGTGGCCTCTTCCACCCCGACCTCACAGTTACCGTATCTCCCGCATTGAACCGACAGAGGAGCCTCCCCAACGGACAAACCGACACAGTATATACGATGTATACGAGAAGGCCAAAGAAAGGCGCATCGCCCTGCAGAGAAAGTACTGGGTGCAGGTCCTCTTCGAATACACAGTATATATTTTCCTTGCAGCCTTCATCTACTTCGTCCTGATTGGGATGCCCCTCTGGCGAGGTGCCGTGTGGTGGCTCTACTACGTAGTGCGTACCAAGTTTGTCATTCCAGGTGGCTGGGGAATCACAATTGGCATTGCTATTCTGTAGGTATCGCTCATCGTCTTTACGACAAGAGACTAATGACTTACTCCAAAGCTACGCGTTTACTCCCTTGCTACTGCTCTTCGAGAAGAACCCTCCCCCTGTGGACAGCAATTCAAAAGAGGGCGACCTCGAGGGCAATCGAAACACAGCGAAAAGTACAGCCCTTCTCATTCCCTGCTATAAATCTGCCAACATTATTGGCCCGACACTCGACGCGGCGCTACACATCTTTCCGCCTGAAAACATTTTCGTCATTGCGAACGGCAACTCCCCAGAGCCATTAGACAATACTGAAGAAGTGTGCCGCCCATACGGCGTAAACCACCTTTGGTGTCCAGTTGGAAGCAAGATTATCGCCCAGTTTGTTGGTTGCTACGCGGCTAAAGAGTTTCCCCATGTTCTCCTGATCGACGACGACTGCGCACTGCCTCCGAACTTTCCTGTCGTTAGTGACCGACTCAAAGGCCGTGTACAATGTATCGGATATACCATTAAGAGTGTTGGGCCCGAGTCCTCACGCGGCACCTTATGCCAGCAGGCACAGGACCTCGAGTACAAGATATCAGGCCTTCAGCGTGCATTCGCCGGTCTTTTAGGCAGCGCAACATTCCCGCACGGAGCCATCTCTCTATGGAAGACCGACTTCCTCAAGCAGACCTTCCATGACCATCCAGGATTCTCTGTGTCTGAAGATTGGTTTTTCGGAGATAGCTGTCGTCGGCTAGGCGGGCGTATCAAGATGTGCTCTGCTGTTTTTGTTGAGACAGAGACCCCGTCCGCCGTTTTCTTCAGTTCAGGCGGCTCACGAGGAGGATTCGGCGAGATGACCATCTTCAAACAGAGATTTATGCGCTGGAACTTCTTCTTCGTCAACGGCATGTGGTACAATATGAAATATATCTTATGCAGCTGGAATCTCGGTTTCTGGGAGCTGGGCGCGAAGCTGTTTGTTTTTCAAGAGGTAGGT